ACTGAGGATGCAACAGGAATTCACGATCATGGTGTTCTGATTTCTCATCTTACCGATCTGTGTAGAAGATGGTCAGAGCCACTGCACGCCATGTCCTTTCGAAAAGACACGCATGATATCGGGTTTATTATCCAGCCTGCACTGCAAAGAGACTGGGAGCTTTTCGGAAACAAACGCAGTTTGGACTCTATTCTTACTGCAGCCGAAAGCCTCGCTACCAGGTTTGATGAACGAGTCGGGGCCATTCGGAGCTGGGATCGATTTTCCAATGCGCACCATGACATCAACAGCATGGATGATGACTTCTTGGTGATTATAGATAGTCTATGCAGTAAGGAGAAACACCATTTCCACACTTCAATAGAAGAGCGTGACTAACTCAATACCAGATCTCGATCTACTATTTTACGCCGGAAGCTATCTCCATTCTGAACGCCTACTATCTATTGCATCCACCCATGCTACTACGTTGCTATCGACTCATCTCCGACCTGAGTCCGGCTTAAAAGATGACTCCTGCTACTCCACATATCATGTCGTGAACTTCTCTCCTTCGAACGAAGGAAAGGTGAGGCAGAAGCTCACCGCACAAGGCTACTCGGACAGCTCGACATGGGCCCGTGGCCAAGCCTGGGCAATTCTAGGATACGCTCAGACATATTCGTGGACTAAGAAGCGGGAATTCCTTGATGCTGCTAAAGGGCTTGCCGAGTATTTCATACAACGCATGGAATCGTCTCCGAAAATCGTGGAAGAAGAAGGTCGGGGGCGGTACGTTCCACTATGGGATTTCGACGCGCCGATCACGCATACTGGTATCAACGGCGACCAGGGCCCATTGCGGGATGTTTCCGCAGGATTAATTGCTGCAAACGGGATGCTGATTCTGTATGGACAGCTAGCAGGCATTGGGGAACTAGCGGCGGCCAAGCGTTACTTGGACTATGCTCTAAGTATCGCGAAAGATACTGTGGAATTGGCGTATAATCGAGATAAGAGGCGGTTGAGGCTTTATGAACAGGATGGGGCTACTAAGGTCGAATCATACCAGATTAGCAATGGAGATCGCTTTGATGCGATCCTTGAGAAGTCAACGGCCAATTTCAACGGCAACCATGCTGACCGTGCTTGGGATCATGGGTTGGTTTATGCAGATTACTACTTTCTTGAGCTGGGGAATCGACTCTTAGATATGGGGTTACTTTGATGATTATTACATAGAGTTCCAGTCCGACCGATAAAGCACTAGATATCATTTTATCTTATAACTATGTTTGTACCAATCCGTAGAGAATTGCGTGCGTTTTAACTTCATCTTCTTTCTGAAAATCTCAATACCTTTGCCATACTATTACTGCTTTTCCTGCATCTTCTTCCCTTGTTTCTTCTGATGCCACCTTTGCTCCCTAAGGTTGACACTGAATACTCGTATCATAATATCTGAGTACCCTAGACCAAAGCACCTTATAGCTATGTCACCCAGACCGTGTTTTAACTACTCTATCCCTAACATGGTATATAGCAATCGTACAGTAGTTAGTGTACACTCGAACTGCGGGACAGCTTGCATGTTATTTTCTATCGATCGGCATTCTTTCCTACATAAACAGGCTATTATATTCAAGCATCATTTTGTGCATGCGTCAATGTCTCATACGCCACAAAAAGACCATTGTTCTCAGCCGGCCGCTGTTTCAAGGTGAGATTTTCTGTCTGCGGCATATCAATTCCCATTCTGAATGACAGCGCATTGAACCCAACTTCTGTAACCGCGCGCAGCGATAACTTTAGCTCCCCACCACAAAGCCAGGATGGGGCAGATACTCCATTTTCAAACTGAGAATGGAACTCCAACGCATAGCGCAGGCGGGTTCCTAAGTCCTCCTTGTAGAGGTCGGTACCTTGGATGCGACTGGTCTCTGCCACATGAGCCATAGAGGCAAAAGAGTAGCCAGTGTGCTCGAGATCCCGGCATGTCTCTTGTGACTGACCGTTCTCCTGGAATGTGGTTTGATTAAACCACCAATCGATGATTGCGTCAGGGGAGGAACTATGTCCGCGAGCTGCTACCGGGTATTCTCCATCACTTGTCATGTATACCGTGGCAGGAACTCGTTTCAAGTGCCAATCCATCGCGATGTTATAGGAGTCCGCATCCTCGAGGAATACAGCCATCATAATAGCCGCTTCGGTCATAACTGTTCCACCACACCTCGTTAGCTACCACTGGCATCAGTTTACCATACAAGTTAATAGCATACCCAGCTCCCAATTCGCAGTCCCCGTCGTTCCATTAACGGTGAGCGGCATATACACATCACGTAGCATGTCTTCAAACTGCTTAATACCATCGTCCGACCACCCGGCGTCCGTATAGCGAATAATCTCGCCCGTGCGTGCCCATACTGAGCCAACCCAACCTGATTGTAAGGGTGCATTGGTGTTATTATGACCTTCAATCGTGGATGAATATGCGTCCATAATGCGGATCGCCTGTTGAGCATACGCTTCGGTGCCATTGATTGCCCACGCTAGAGCATTGGCATACGCGGCTAGGGAATCATCGCGTTCCGCTTTGCATCCAACATCTGGGTCCGAGTAAGGACCACACTCGACGATGACATGCGGTGATGGGGCCTGCGGATTGCTGACATATTCATCCTCCATAAGTGCGTCATAGGCAACCGCCCAGGGTTGCTCGCCTTTGCTCACTTTAGCTTTGACGAAGTCCAATTGGGATTGGCTGATCATTGCTCCGGGATGGACCCATTTTGACGGGGCTGAGGCTATCGTTGATATGTCTTGTCCAGATCCCGGCTGGACTGTAGCCGCGATAACGAATGGAAGAGCTTTCCAAGATCTCATGCTTCGGATGTTACTGATTGGGAGAATTGTTGAGGGGCTGTGATTCTTGCTTCATCATGCTCCTCCCTTTAAATGCTATTGTTGCCAAGAAAAGCACCCTTCCTATCTCGCTTCGCCCAAAGACTACATTCTACCGCCGATCATTGTTTCGGGTTGATTGTCCAAGCACCCAATATCGTGCAATGCCGAGCCGCGGTAGGAGCATTCCACCGACTGTGGGGAAATCGAAACAACACCGGCCGAACGAATCCCCCGAGCGGAGTTTGCCTTCATTTGCAGTCTCTAGTAGGAGTGGGGTGAGCGTTAGGGTTGCATTGTTATTCTAGAGCTTCTTGATCTAGCTAGGATCTGCAAGCAAGGGAGCAAGACTATATAGATGGTTACAATGACCCCTTGCATGCCTTGATGCGAGCTCACCAATCCAATTCTACCACAGTCGCCCTTACATCAAAATGATTGCGTCTAAAGCTTTGCGACACAGTAGCTTCATCGCGCTCGTCGCATGCCTCTTGCAACTGTCCTCTGCCAAGGATTTGTATCTCGATTGCAGCTCTTCCAACAGCGATGGCGATGGCAGCAAAACAAACCCATTCAGCTCTATTAATGAGGCCAATAAAGCTGTCTTAAGTGCCGGAGACAGCTTGAGCATCAAATCAGACACTACATGCTTCGGGACGCTTTCACCACAGGGCAGCGGTACACAAGAACAGCCGATCACCCTTACTAGCTATGGCGATGGCCCCTTGCCCATCATCAATGGTTCTGGAGCAGCAGAAGCAGTGAGCCTTACCAATCAAGACTACTGGGATGTGTCCAACATAGCGGTGGTCAACCCAGCGGCTGAGATCGCCTGGCGCCGCGGAATTCTCGCAACATCTTCCGATGGGACCGTGCACCGGGGCCTCTACATTCACGATGTTATGGTTTACAATGTAGCCGGTGAGACCAACAAGGCCAAGCAATCCGATGCTTTCATCGCCTCCGGCGGAATTCTGGTCAACGGAACCGAGCATAACAGCCGCTACGACGATGTCCAAATATTCAACAACACGGTTTACGACTGTGGTGGCGGTGGTATCAAAGTCCGTGTTGGTCAGATGGATAATCGTGGCGAAGGGGTACACGTCTTCTCCAATAACATCTCCTATGTCGGCGGCGATGGAATCGTGGTATCCTACGGCGTCTCACCCCTCATCGAAAGCAATCTTTGCGGATTCCTCGGACATGGAAAATATCCGTGGACCGGGGGCAATTTCGCCGGAATCTGGGTTCTCGGCTGTCGGGATGCGGTCATGCGATTTAATGCGGTCCATGACTCTCTCATGTCGGACATAGACAGTGAGGCCTTTGACTGTGATTGGGGTAATGAAGGTACCTGTACTGTCGAGTATAATTACAGCCATGACAATGCCGGTGGTATATTCTTGAACTGTGATGGCTGTGGGACTCCTGGTGGAGCGAGGCAAATCGTTCGCTACAATATCTTTCAAAATGATTGTCGCATGTATAGCAACGGAGATAACGTGGAGATGGACTTCTATAACAATGTTATTTATTGTCCAGATAAGAAGTTCGAGATTGCTGTCCCGCCGAAAACGAACTTGTCCAACAATATCTGGGTTGGGACGAAGGATTCGACCTTGCCGACTGGCAACTCAATTGAGTGGCATGCAAACCTTTTCCAGACGGTGCCACAGCCAGCTGATACAGCTGGAACTGCTGGAGATGCACGGTTCATGGATCCGGGTACCGGGAAAGACACAATTGACTCAGTAGATGGGTATAAATTGCGCTCGGGTAGCCCTGCTTTGCTGAAAGGGGTTATTGTGTCTGAGAATGGAGGGAGTGACTTTTGGAATAACGAAGTGTCATCCGACCAACGACCCAATATTGGATCTTACAATGGTAAAGGCCTGTGAGGGTGACCCGAGCTGGGCTGGTGTTGGATTTGTACTCATTGTTGCTGTTAGACAACATAGCTATAGTAGCTGGCCCTGCGTCCCTTACTAACATGCTGAATGTACAACATGAGATAAGCGCTGTAATGAGTTTTGAGACAGTCCAGTAATGTCATAAATCCGAAGTTGAACACACTATTCTGTCGTTGAATTACTTCAAAATACACACTGGATGATATTGATATCGCGATCTTGAACACACGGCGAATCGAGCGCGTTAACTAAGCTGTCAGCGTACAGCCATGGGAGTCGATGAGGAAGCCACAATACCAAGAGCCGATGCGCATCGGGGCCCTAAAGCCTTTACTGGACCCTACCATACACATGAGAACAATTCGGTCCTTCTGCCTATTTCATCGGGCTCGCTCCAGCCATAAAAACCACCACACGCGTGAATTTTCCGTCGGCGCCGACATCAAAGAAGTTGCAGTTGTCCAGCTCGTTCTTCGTCCCGTCCACCAGTTCGCCGGTATAGTGATGCTCAGTTGAGACCTTGCCATGTACTTCATCGACCACAATACTCTTGATGTCGTGGAGCATGTGCTTGGTGTTATTAATGAAGTCGGTGAACAAGCGGCGGATCTCGTCGGGACCCGTGGATGTGATATGGGCAGTCTTGATGGTGAATGTCGCGTCTGGGGAGAAGTGCGACATCACAGCATCGAGATCCTTGCCATCCACCGCATTGAAGAAGCTTTGCGCCAACCCCGCGAGCTGGTCGCGGGTCAGGATCGGGTTCTGTGAGGCGGCCATGTGGATGATCTGGATGTGTTTGTGACTTGGTAAAGGGTGAGATCCGGTGATTTTAACTCTTCTTCTGCTGTATGTATGACCGAGAAGGGAATACGAAAGCCAAGAGGTGGGGGATCCGGAATATTAATCCTTGGTAGTGTTGTGGGTCGTGGATTTTAAGGATCGGGACGAGGTCGAATCAGGTGCCTATACCTACCCTAAGCACTCTGCAAGTGGCATCTACATGTCTCGCAACAGCGTTATAGGCGCCATTTAATGATTATTTTAATCCTTGTCACAGGATAGATTTACTATACGAAAGTACGGTGTCGTACTAGACAGTCGGTATGATTAAATCTTTTTTTTCCAGATCCAATTATTACATAAGCTGCCAAGACTGAAGTAACTAAATGCACCCTTCAGATTTCTACGACGATCGAAAACATAAACAGTTATTCAACCTCATCAAATTGTCACCGTATCTAGTCAGAACATGAAAATAATAAGATCTATAACTTAAGTTTGCCCACTGTTGCACAAAAAGTAGTCCTGGAGACTTAGGTGCTCATCTTTGTAACTTACAGCTCTTTTCACTATCTGTAGCGCAATACTGCGATTATATATATTCTCTTGTCACTACGGCGTGATGCATCCGCTCCTATAGAATCTGAATGATCTCATACCAGTATATTCGTTCCATATAAGTGTTGCTAGGATTATTCCAGTACTTGGCCCAAGACTAGAGAAATTTTTAGCTACATGAACAAAGTTTTGGGAACAATAAACCTGCTTCACAAGAAGCATATCACATATATATATCAATGGATGCCATAATTAACAGTCAAGTTAGGAACACACTTTAAGTTTTTCCATAATGGAGTAATGTATATCGTACCAGCTGGAGTGCCCACAGGATTCGACAAAGGCACAAAGCAATACACCTCTAGCCTTGTAGGCAGACCTTAGCCATGTTGATAGTCACTGAGAGACACGTTTTGAGCAGGAAGTATTGGCCAGGACCTGCTACCGCCATCCGCATCGTTCAAAATCGAAACAAGGATCTTGCCCCGGCTGTCGCGTAATTCATCAATATCCCCGTACTGAGATGCCTTCATTTGATCGATATTTTGGACAAGATACATGGGATTCCAGCCGCTACCGCCGCTGATATCGTAGGTCCACCACGCTAGATTAATGGCCTTCACGGAAACTATGTTTGCGTCCTTGGTCTTGGCGTACTTTTCCACACCCCGGAAGAAGGTCTTTGCGTCCTCGCGTGAGGCAGCTGTCACGAGAAATCGAAACCATTTGCCCGTGACACCATCTGAGCTGCGTTGAAATGTCCAATGAGCATAGAAAGGTGCATCGTGATTCCAGTAGTCTTTAGTATCAGTCATCGTGGCGGATGTCAAGTGTACAGCCTTAGAACTGCTAACGGTTTAGAGTAATAGAGGAAAAAGATAGCTTGATGATAATTGCGCTATTCAATAACGTCGACACAAGGGGTCTAGGGAGTTAGACCACATTTATACACTTTCAGTCAGTGAGTAACTTTACATCGCTCTTGATATCTGACCTCATTGATGATCAAACGACTGGCCATCATGATCCTTGTTGACATCACCCAATATTGAAAGCATTGTTTTCGGAAGTGAACACGTCACAGGAATGTAATGATAATGGCAGATAGTTAAATTGCATTGGCTAGCGTTCGTTTCCATCAATATTCCAAGCATGTTATATCGACGGAAGAAGGCTGAAGGTTTGCCCCAGACAGTAGTTTGACGTCTCGCCCATGAGGGAATAGAGCGGCGTTCGGGCAGTCCGTCTCGGAGTTACATCAAGGTGCGTCTATCAACCCATGGTTCGTATATGCGCCAAATATCTAAGATATTCGTCACACCCACACCCCCGGGCAACAACAGACTTGAGCTAATATCATATCTCTTCTCTTTTACACAGATATCTTGGTGGTTGTGGTACATCAGTTTGTGGTGCTGCAGTGATCGGCGGGAGGAAAGCCGACAATACCAGAGAGTAAAGCCCACACGGCGCCCTACTATGGAACGGCGGCGGCCTATGCATGTAGGATGCCACTGAGTAACTATGATTATTATCAGTAAAATGGTGAAGAAAGGACTGACTCCATGCGCTATACTAGACGCTCAGTTGATGGTATATTGGTTTACATTGCCTGAAGGCAGAGAGTTTGACCAACCTTAGAATTCCATGTATACAGGTCTCTTTTGGGTCATTAGATACTATATACAGCTTTGAGGGCAGTCTACATTGTCAAAACGAGTCACGTGCGTATCCATTATGTCTTTGTAGTTAGCTTGTTGGAGTTTTCTATGTTGATTAATCGCATTTATTGCACTCCAATTAAAGCCCGGCAGGCAAAGTCAAATACTACAGATGAGGCTAACTCGACTATTGTGGTATGTGGTCTAAAATCACTGTCAAGCCTTTTTTTTAACAAGAAGCCCCGAACTGTATAAAGGCTGTCAGGAGCTATAACAATACGCTTACAGCCAGCTGAGCTACAGAATGCCATTAAAGGCAATAGGAAGCTCAAGATCGTCTACGGCATTTCCCAATACAAATGATACCTGCTGGCCTCTACTACCTCCCCTGTCATTCGATTATCTCAGGGGTTGAGATGTTTGGCGCGCCCTATAGCAACCAGGCTAGGCTGAAATACCATGATAGGGCCATTTCAAAACTTTCAGCAACAATCCAGGGTGCTTTATGTACACCACATATCTATCATCATACATAGATCTAATGGTTAAAGCTCTGCAAGGAGTCACAGTATGCTCAACTAGCATGGACAAGTCAACGTGGACTCTCCAGAGATCAATCGCTCGAACTAGCAAAGCAATGGAACCGACTTTGGAAGGATGAACGTGCATTACAACTAATTTTTTTTTTTCAAGATTTTAGGACCTAAAACATGGTACTTTTTAAAAATGAACCGTAGATGCGCCTGTAAGACAGAAATCCTCTCCAATTGTTCACGACCTCTCATGTCCCTGGTACAATACCCATGGGAGATGACTAGTTTTTTTGCTTTGGTTCACAGGGCAGAATGCCCTCCAACCATTTGTAAGCGACAGGCAAGCTGTCGGGGTACCCCATATGTGGTAAGCCTTCAAAAAGCCTGCTTCCTGATTAGTCGCGACGGCAATACCAACTTGGACCAGTATCGGGCCTCACCTTCCCTCCTTCGGACTCCCATGGTTAAAGAGAAGCAGAGAATCTTCAATTGGCGTAATCCCATCGTCGACACCCTATACGTTCGTTAGATATGGCACATCCAATTGCGCAAAAGGAGAGTAGCTGTATACATTCAACAAAAGCAATCGGCAACTAGGACGATCTACAATACCCGTTTCCACCAGTGAGAACTTCTTCCGTGCCTCTTGCACAAAGACCTGAATATCGTCGTAGCCGTATTTCCTTGCCCATCCTGCCATGATTCTGCATGGAATTAGCGCATAACCCTTGAACTCACTATGAACAGGAACGAGCAACTCACGAGAAAGGATACTCATGATTATCGACGCGACTGAGCCACTCTTTGTCCAGAAAATAATGGCATCCCGCACCGTGTGCAATAGCCCCACGTAGTCGGCTTGCGTGTGTATGGGCGGCTCGGATGGCATAGAAACCTCCCGCGCTGAGTCCCCAGAGCACAACTTGACTCATGTCCAGCATCGGCTGTGTCGCCATGTATGCGAAGACGCTATCCCATAGCCGATCAGGAGACGATGGGTCCGCAGGATCAGCAGGCGAATCCGCTGTACCCGGGATCTCGGCGATGACGACAGCCCATCCGCGGCCGATGATCTCGTGTGTCCGTTGGCTGTTATCCGGTCTGTATCCGTCCAGTCCTGTCATAATAAAGACGACGGGAACGGGATTCTCTGGACTAGCATTGCTCGGTACGCGAGTGTAGATCGGGATTTCTTGGCCGTCATTTATACCGCGACTGCTGTGCGGGATAATAACTTCCTTGATCGGTGATTCCCATCGAGATGCAGCCTTCATGTATACCTGCTTTTGACGCTCGAATGCAGTTCGCTTGATGGAGTTTGGCTGAGTTATGTCGACATAGGGAAAGCGCGAGATCCGATAGACTACCGCGGCGCGGCGAAACAGGTCGATTGCGTTGTCTGTTTTACCAGAGTCCAAAGCTTGTAATGCTTGAGATTCTAGCTCTGATGCGATAGGAAAGAATGTAGACGTATATTCATCCGTGCTGGCATCATTGATGTTTTCCTACCGTGAAGAATCTCTGGTCAGTGGCAATGAAATTCGAAAAAGGGTTTGTGAGCAATTGAGAACAAACTGAAATAAGCTTCTGGAATATTGGCGCGAAATCCTCGTAGGATCCATCATGAAAAGGATAAACTCCCTTTTGGCACTTTAATCTGCTGTTAGTCCTTTTTCTTTTGATTGCAGCGCAATGAGCGGATAACTAACGGCAAACTTCCAACGCGTTTCCCAAAGGGTCTTGATAGAGCCCTTGTGCGAATAGACGGTATCAAATTTGTCCCCAAGAATCCAGTTAGGCATTTTCGTAAGTGTCAAATAAAATGAGAGACGTCTGGATGAATGCTTAGACCTGTGGCGGTGGAAGGAGGGCTAGAGTTGACAGCATATTAGATGCGAAAATCCTCGTTTCTGGTCTTTCCCACAACAAAGCAGTGAAATCGGAATTTTACCACCTAAGTAATCTAGCATCACTGTAACTATTACTTCACGAACCATGTTAAGCCTCTGATTTACTGGATATTTACCACGTTTGGGTCAATGTTCCAGGGTCACGTGCAGCGCCTGTAACGTTCCAACGACAACCCTAAGTCGACACAGCCGCAAACGGCGACGAAGTTACATCGCTGCCGTATTCCCCACGTAGATATCTGACACCCTGTATTGTATAGTAACATTTCTTCTCTGCGAATATGGCTGGACTGCCGATCTTTACCCAGTGGTTTTCTCGTACCCGGAGGAATAATTACTACGTCAAACAGAAAAAAGTTTAGTCCCTCATTAAGTCTTTTGCACAATCGTTCAAGCATTTTACCTTCAGAGATACACTGGACTTAATATGCGAGACCCCCACCAACCACCTTAGAATAGCGTCATACTATATAGTGTAAATGAATGAAAGGAGGTGCGAATACTACTAAAGTTGCCGTAGTACATGCCTCAAACTGATGAAATGAACTTGGCAGAAATATATGTCCTTCCGGAAAACAAAAGACTCTCAAATTTTCCATTGATTCAGTCTCTCCCTTCATGGAACGTCTTGGCTTTGCTGACCAATCATAAATTGTATAGCTTGTCCTCAATTGACTTAATGCGTTACTCGCATTTGTCGTCTCGCTGGGTATTGACATGGTAGTGACACAACTGCATCCTGAAACGGGTCTTCTGGCAAAGTGTCGAGTAAAGGCCCACTAGCCTCTGATACCTTGGTAATGACCTTCTTAGTATTAGGGTCATTAGTACAGGTAGATGTGGCTAGTTCTTATCTTCCATTGAGATCCGTACTACGACAAAGGAAGGAAGACCGAAAGCTAAGTTCCCCTTGAAAGAAACTTAAAGTCAAGGGTTATCTCAAGGGTTTGAATCCCTGGATTGGAAAATGCGTATTCGTCTCAATGAGTTCTTTGCCCTATTTGGGGGCATAAATATGGTGCAAAAGGGACAAAAGTGCCATGGCTTTAAGGCATCAGGCTTGTGTTGAGGATTTCTTTCCTTATTAGAATGGACTTTGGAAGTATCGTGTATTGCTTAATCTTGCTAAATGCGGGTCGGATATTGTATTACTTCCTGTTCGTACTATACTGGGAATATCAAGTAGGTTAATTGACGACACAGAAAAATTCTGGACAAAATTCGTTGACTAATAACAGAAAGACCGCATATTCGTGCACCAACATGGTTGCCAGCCTCCCATAGAACTGCCCACTAGATAAACGAACTATGGATGTCAAACGCAAAAGGCCGGTTCCTTGCGTTTCTATGCTCTGTAGCAGAGCAATACGAGCCCGAAAATCTGCTATCCCAATATTTGTTGTTCGGGCCGCAGACATTTCATGTTCTGCGCCCGGAGAATGTGGAGGCAATCCTGTCTACCAAATTTGAAGGTAGAGAAAGACAACGAAGATGGCCAATTTGAGGATATGGTACTCATTATATTTATACTATGGTTTCGGTGCACGGCGGGAGATCTTTGTGCCACTCCCTAGGTAATGATATCTTTACCCAAGAAGGGCCGGCATGGAAACATTCCAGGGATCTCATTGGCAGACATATCGCCCAGGAAGGGCTGGCTAAGCGCTTCCGAATAGCTTCATTTCATTGGTTGTAAATCCGCCACAGTTTCGAAGAGCTTGTGCTGATGTGCACCGATTTGTTGAGTATTATATTGATAGTTTGAAGGTAGACAATTTTGATGAAACAAATAATAAGGCCTATAGCTTTATAAAGCAGCTTTCTCGGGGGTCTATTAGCAAAACAGACCCCCGTGACCAATTACTTAACGTGCTTTTAGCTGAAAGAGACACCACCGCAAGCTGCCTCTCATGGATGCTGTACGTACCTGCCAGTTGCAATTTTGTCTAGAATGATAATGTCACCTAGATGTCTACTTGTCCGTCATGAACACGTAATGCGTCGTTTACGAGATGAAATATCTTCCATCATGGGGAAGCCTCAATACCCCCACTAAAGACCAGTTCAGGCACATGTCATACCTAGACTGTGCTATCAAAGAGAGTTAGTTGCCTTCCTACGCATTACCCCCTATGCTAAACACTGCCAGCTTTACGCCTCTACCCGCCCATTCCGTTAAATAACCGCGAAGCGAAAGAAACCGCCATCTTTGCCAACCGGTGGCGGTGAAAACGCAAGCACCCCCATCCTTGTAAGAAGAAGGGAGCTTGTCGTCCTTTCATAATATGTTATTTCCCGAAAGAGAAATATCTATGGGCCTGATGCAAACGTCTTCCGTCTAGAGCGGTGGGAAACCAGCGAGCTGGGCCAGATTAGATGGGCATATTTTCCCTTCAATGGCGGGCTCCGACAGTGCTTGGGAAAAAACTTGCTCTAACACAGGTCAAATACACAATTATCAGGTTATTACAGATATTTGCCAATATTGGTATGCCTCCCGGGGAGCTGATGAAGCCTGTTGGAAGCGAAAAAAAAAAAAGCCTTACCCTTGTTCTCTTCTGTGCGGATGGCTGTCGGGTCCAAACCTGATCTCCATGAATAATGGAGTTAAGAACCTCTACGCAGACAGCACTGGATCTGACTCGGCAGTTGAAAACTGGGGTATATCGTCAAATTTCTCTAAAAAGCCATATCTTGGGTCTTAAATCCGTAATTCCGTTTCGGCAAATTTAAGGCTTTGTGATTTGCCGATATTGACTCTCAAGCACTTTTTGGTGGGTAACGGATTTACCATATTTATGCACTAAAGACCTGGAGAAATGGATAGCTTAGCAAGATAGCTTCATACCATATATTACCCACTTGTGTTTCAACGATTTGAGAGCTTAGTCCTTTGTAGTTTGCAACGTTGACTCCACAATGTAGTATATCCGGTGCCCACGTTATATCCGGAAGCGAAGTTGGAGGATATAAGGATGTGTTTTCAGGTCTGCTTTTCAGTGATGTCACATGGCATAGCCTTCACTGTTGACTTCAACGGTCATGTTTCGTCCGCTCCTCTCTGTCGCAGCGTTTGCTGCCACCCTTGCAGCAGCAACTACTTCAACACTTCTATCAGGCGGAACCGTAATTGCCTTTGACTCAGACACTGATAACCTTCGAGTACTGCGCAATGGATCCGTCTTGATTGTCAATGATACGATTGAAGATGTCTTTGCTGAAAGCTACAGTGGAACGTTGCCCAGCGGCACCGAGATCATTGATGCAACAGGCGATATCATCACCCCGGGCTTCATCGACACCCACCGACACGGATGGCAAACTGCGTTCAAAACATTAGGTTCGAATACGTCGCTGGCCGAATATTTCGAGAGATATGGCGAGTTTGTCGTCGACGGCGGCTATTCTGCTGATGATGTATATATTAGTCAACTGGCAGGATTGTATGAGGCACTTAATGCTGGTGTCACTACAATACTAGACCACGCACATCATACTTGGTCTAATAAAACAGCTGATGCCGGTCTTAATGCATCTATTGATAGTGGTGCTCGGGTGTTTTGGTGCTATACTTTTCACAATGTCAGCAACTTTCCACACACCGAGCAAGTGGCCAAGTTCAAGGATATTGCGGACAGCGACAGGCTGAACGGAAAAGCGACTAGCCTAGGAATTGCCTATGATGGATTTCATCCGGGCAGTGCACGGCAAACTGAGGAGGTGATTTCACTCGCCCGGTATATTATTTCAAGACTGATCTCCAACATACCTGACTGACCATACTCAATAGAAAATACAATGTTTCAGCGATTACCGCCCATTCTTTACAGGGCGTATGGGGAGGTAAGTTTCCAGCCGCTGCTTTCTCAGCTTGGCTTTCCAAACATATATTCTAACATAGACAAAGTGATTAACTCACCCGAAAACCTGAATAACCTCGGCATCCTGAATACGTCTATCCCAGTCATTTTCTCCCACGCAAGCTTCCTAACCCCCGAAGGAGCCGAGCTCCTCCGAAATACCAATCAGTACGTATCGATCACTCCCGAATCTGAGATGCATTACGGTCACGATCACCCTCACAACCACCTCGTTCAGGACCAAGCAGCCCTAGGCATTGATACTCATTTCACATATTCCACAGACGTGATTACCCAAGCACGTCTGTGGCTCCAGTATACTAGATTGACCTTATACCGCTGGTTGCTACAGAACTGGCACGTTCCCTCGAATAGCCCCATGACGGTGAATCAAGCTTTCATGCTTGCCACACGCAATGGAGGTCTTGCACTTCGACGGCCAGATTTGGGTGTCATTGCCAAGGGAGCCAAGGCGGACATTGTTGTTTGGGACGGAATGACGCCTGGAATGCTTGGCTGGGACGACCCAGTCGCGGCCATTATTCTTCACTCCAATGTTGGTGATATTAAACATGTCTTGGTCGATGGGAAGTTCGTTAAGCGAGACAGAAAACTGACAGTTGAGAATTATTCTTCTGTTCAGCAGAGATTCTTAGTCACAGCCAGGAAGGTGCAGGCTGAATGGAAGCAGAGGCCTTACCCCGTCTTGGAGGGCAAGTATTCCTTATCCGACTACCAGTATGAACGGGTGCCCTACGTTGATACCGTAAGAGGGGATGGAAATGGTTATGGCCACCAATATCTCTAGACTGTCATCTTATCATATCTAACAATCGATGAGGAGAGGTGGTGCGTGCGATGCTCTTGTCTCGTCCCACTAAGACGGCATTCTGTCTATCTCGGTTTACATCGGCAGACTATCCTCAATCAACACTATGTACGAGGTCTCGGATGTGTATATAGATATATTTCAAATGTAATAAGACATGCAGAGACAACATTTCGAAAGTAAAAGACTCGGAGTCACCGAGGAAATTCTCAGAAACTATCGCCTGGCAAATTGACACCACCTTCTTGGAGATCATCTCATAGCCATAAGATATTCCCTAGCACAGTGAGGCCTGTTCATTTTGGTATCCAATCAGCTGTAGCAATCCTCGTCCTCTTCCCCCATAGCCACTGCGGGATCGTGAATAAGGTAAAGAGCCCCATCAACCCTCCGAAGACACCGAAAGGAATTGCTGGACCAGCACTCTCAACCCATCCGCTGGCGAAGAATGTCCAAGAAAAGCTGATAATCGCTCGCATGCACGTCACGACAACAAAACAATCCGCTGAGACGCTACCATAGGAATCGATAATCTAGTAAGAGAAACGGTTAGTTATCTGGAAATCGAACAATCCCTTCACCCTCAAAAACGGAAGACCATACATAATTGAAACCAATAGATGGTGCCTGCATGAGACCAAAAGACAGCATTCCGAGCCCAAACTGCATCCCAATCCACATGTGTGAATTCGAACTCTGGGCACAGAACCCAAAGGTCCACAACCCCGTTGTTGCTAGAACAAGCCCCGGAAGCGCAATGGGCAAGCGAGCCTCGGGCTCCATGTTTTCTTCTCCCTGCAATGTCTTTTTCGTAGTAATAATTCGATCTGCGGAGAGCGCCGTCACCACTGCGCCGACCAATGCTCCGATAATGCCGCCGACCAAAATGAGACCTGCGTTGTTGCCCCACAGATATGGCGGCTGTGCAGCAAGTGTTGGGCCTACTGTCGATATTGTCACAACCCCACCAACCAACCCTGCATACCACAGCATCACTAGCCATACCCCGGGAAGGCGCAGTGTCAACCACGGCGAAACGAAGTTCTGGAGAAGGTTCCCGTGGTTGGTGTATAACTTCAGTGAGCGGAGGAAAGTAAGCTCCGAATAGCTACCAGTTGTAGCATGATTTTGGGCGATATCTTCGATTTTTATCGAACTTGTTCCGTCCTCACCTTTGCCGCCTTCGTCCAAAATAGGATCCATGGATTGAGCCGGGGTCTCACGAGCATAGAGCGTCTCCGGAACTAGGAAGAAACAAGCGATGAGCAGAATGCCGGACAAGATGACATTGATCCAGTGGATCCATGCCAGGCCCAGGTTTCCAGCTATGTAGCCGCCGGCAATGCCACCAAGAACAGGGCCTATGCAGATGAAAACCGTATAAAACCCCTAAGCATGTAATGAGTCTTAAGCACTGCGATGATTCTTGATCCTTTAAGGTATGTATCCTACCATCGCTTTTCCTCTCTGATGTGCAAAATAGATTTCGCCTACGACATTCGGTGCAACTAGCAATACCATTAGCAATAAAATCTTTTGCTAAGAAGGGGCGATCGGAACTCACTCGTATCGGCTGGAGCGACGCCAACCCCCATGAAAAAGCGGGCAGCAAGAAGACTTCCAAATGATGTAGCGCGTGCGGCCCATACGGAGCATAACATGAGGAGGAGAATGTTGAATAATGTGATGGGCCGGCGGCCAAACGTATTGGCTAACGGCACCCACAGGATATTTGCAGCACCCATCATAAGAACGTTGACCTAATACAGCTTAGCCATCGCATCCACGCAGGTACCTAAATAAAAGTCTCCCATGTAGAAAGAGAACAAAGAAGGGTGAATATTATACTCATATCGAGCACGAACCGCGACGAGATGACCCAGCTTCCCAATAGAAACGGGTGGATTGAAAGCCATTGGAGTGGCATATAATGGAAACGCGCTGGCAATTGAGCCAGAAGTAAAGTTTCCAATGGCGGCATATAGTGACATAACCAAAAGGACGGCGAACTTGCGCCAGCTCGGCCAGTTCAACGGATCCAGCGGGTTTTCTGATGGCTGGGGAGACAGAACCACTTCGCCATTGTTTTTGAGATGTGTTCTACCAGCGGACTCTTGGGAATATACTAGATTAGGGAAGATTTGGTGAATGTTAGTCAACTTAGTAGTCTAGGAGGCGTGAGTCGTGCTGTTGTGCCCAAGCTACTCACTTGATAGAAAGATTGTCCCAGGAGGTACTGCATCCTGTACCTCCTTCCGGGTCATAGAAAAAGCGTGCCTAAATCCGCTCATGATGCCTCACAGAAGTGATCGAATATAGGGATCGATTATGCTGAGGTTGGTGAAGCAGGAACTGCTCGCAGCGATATATGCGGAGGTGACAAGCTAATATTGGACCCTCCATCATAGCCTTTGGCAGCAAGTGGGGCACCGCTACCCCGGATTCACATGGGCTCTCATTTGGCAGCATAGATGATGCGTGAAGGTGTTGAACCTAACTGCGGGGATAGTTAGGGTATGCATTTCGGCTTTTCTTGAGGGCTCGGCTCCACACCCGCAACGCCAAAGCCGATGATGTCCACATATAGCTCTACCGAAGCATCTTTCTCAACATGAACGCTGACTTTATTTGATACTCGGTGGATGGTCAGGGTCAGATCTGTACCCACCCACCCGAGCCGTTACAGTCGAGCTAATGTGACGAGAGATATCTCCAACCCAAAGAAAGGGCAAAGAGGTTGTAAAACCAACTCTTGGTAGAGTACGAAGTGGACGCATGAGCCCGGGTAGCTGTACTACATAGTCGTCTCGCACGGATGCTGCTTCTGCGAACATCGATCACATATGTTTTGAGTCTTTGGGACTAGTTTACGCCTTTCCTCCAGTAACAGCAAGTAAAGCACTCGCATGCTGCCCACGTGCCGAAACACCCGCTCCTGCTCCAGGGTTTTGGGTCAGCAGCATTCAACGCTATGTAAGTCTTATTCTTGGGTCTGCTCAACTCATCATGTGTGGCGTTCAATTTTTATTAGTCCCTAGATGACTGCATAAGGTACGCTTCAACAGAATCAATAATGAATCCACAAAGCTAGTCAAGTATGGAGATGTGCATACCGGAGCGTCTAGTCCCCCTACGGTTGATGAATACAGTCATTACAATTGGCTGTCGATAATAGAATGGCTTTTCTATACCCATGTGGGTATAGCACGTCCTGACTCCCGACTCTGGCCTAGAACAACAGATGCTTCGGGTTACGTTCCTACTTATGCACCACAGGAAGGAAGGTCCCGAGGTGCTGATATGGCGACTATCAATCCCTATATCGCTTTCCAGAGTTAAGCATGCTTCAAAATACTTGCCATTGGAGACTGATTCTTCTTCAAAGAAAAGCAGAAAGCAGCAGGAACCGCCACGGGTGGATCTACGACAACGAGTAGGTCGGTCGAATGATGCGTCAAGTTCGGGATGTGGAGAGCATCGGGTCCAATCTAGAACGCCGGCTTCTACTCTCCGCATTTGAACCCCGGAAAGCGAAGGATCTCCGCGTTTTCAGGAATCACATATCAATCGGCTAGAAAAGAAGTAAAACTGCCGATGTGGGTCTGCGAGCTCAAGAGGGATTCATTGATCTCCTTTCCAAGCACATTCGCGGACACTGGAAGTTCATCCTATGTCCACTCCCTTACGAAGCTCTTCTTAAATGTTTGTCAGCCTTTCACGATCGCTTGGCGTAGTTAGACATAACAACGTGTAAAATGGAGTGAAGCAGTAAAGGCTATGCAGAATGGCGGCTTGGAGAGCCTAGCTATATGTGATGAGGTAGCGTAGCAGCAGGAAGAGACTTGGTCAAGCTGTTTTTATTGAGCGCAGCCTTATTGCTCTGGCACTTACTGAATCGTCGTGCCCAGTAATCTCTCAATGGTAGAGAAAGAAAATGAGAAAAGAACAGAAAAAATGTTGACATAACCCAAGTGCGTTATCCCAAAGCGACTATGGACAGCTCATATATATATATTTGGTAGAGGTACAAGTTGAAAGGTAGGTTAAGCCCCGGTCCGGGTAGTATTTTTTCGCAGGGAGGTCGCATACGATGCGGGCCACTATTAAATAGTGTCTTCTTAAAGTGTTAAGCATCTGGATATACTACAGGATTCTGCATAGCTTTAAACAGGCGCGAGAATGAAGTGTTCGATGGCCCAAAACCCCAGCACGATGGCGCTGACTCAGCGGAAGTCAGAAACCCGAAGTTCCGTACTCCTTGTATGCCCTACTGCACGGTAGCCTTGTCCAATGTCTACAGTAAAAGGATCGCAAGAGAAAAAAGAACCGCTTCTAAAACAATATTAGTCCTTCGCGGAAGGAACCTAAAGATATTCAAGTTATGCACTGTTAAACAAGATCTGGAGTTCGTACCATAAGATTCATCTTGAATCCTCTCAACCTTAATACATTACGATGTTTTCGCTAAGTCGAAAAAGAGTCTTCGACAACAAGTGCCAGTGATAGCTAGGTATAGCTTGCTGTATACGATATACAAATATAAAAGAATCTCGATACTCGTATTCTTAAGTCTGGAACTCTGGGATCTACTGATTTTTGGATAACGTGATATAAAATTACATATCGAAGCTCAGCCACACTTCTCCCAGGAGCCCCACACATGAAGATCATATCCGCACTGAGTATACTTCTACACCTTCAAATGCCCGATTTGGTGCTATAGAGCTTTGGATTATGTGTTTCATCATATTTGGTACATCCTTCCGGAAAGAAGCAGGTTCCGAGTGCTGAGAGAACTATAGTGGAGAATGTGCCTCCTAAAGAATATATAAAGGCCGGAAAACCCTTTTCAGATCACTCATAGCATCGAGCAATTTAGCGCCTCAGATCAAGAGATTGAACCATTACGGATACCTCGTGCAGCAGCAATGGCAACCTCCGTGGCATCTACCATTAGGGACCAATACCCCCCTAGCGGGTTGTCCATCCTCATTACGGGAGGTGGCATTGGTGGCCTCACCTTTGCGATCGAGGCATATCGTAAGGGCCATGATGTCCGCCTCATAGAAAAGCGCCCAAATTTCGATGGTTACGGTAAGTACTAGTCTGGTGTTCATGAGTCCCAAAACTAATAAAACAATGGAAACAGGAGATCTTCTGATGATAGAATGCAACGCCCTCCACAGCATCAAGAATTGGCCCGGGTTCTATGAGCGATTGCAGACCATCTCGTACAAGACCCAGCGAAACATCAAGAAGTATGACGGGACGTGGGTTGGAACCTGGCCGCTAGGTGATGGAAAGGACATATCAATGGCCTTCAACCGATCTGAGCTTCACTGTGCGTTGTGGGAGTATGTTCAAGAGCTAGGTATTCGTGTCGATTTCTTAACTACTGTTGAGGACTACTTCGAAACGGACGAGGCAGGTGGTGTTGTTCTTGCCGATGGGAGCACGCTCACAGCCGATATTGTCGTTGCCGCCGATGGCGTCGGTTCCAAGGCATGGTCTTTGGTCCTGGGAAAGAAAGACGTTCCTATTAGCTCCGGATTTGCTTGTTACAGGGCGACCTTTCCCACTGCACCAGCACTTGAGAATCCGATCATTTCCAAGGAGTTTGAAGGGTACGTCGATCGTGCCTCAATTCATGTAGGCCCTGGCGCACATATAGCCGTGGGCAAAACCTCAAGGCAGATTTGCTATATGTTGACACACAGGGTATGTCAGATCAAAATCTTAGGCATGCATACATGCTCCTGGTGCGCACGCAGACTGACGATTCTATACACACAGGACGACCACAATGCTGAGGAAGACTGGGATAAGACTGTCTCCACTCAGAAGGCCTTGACATACATTGAAGGATGGGAGCCTTTCCTGACCGAGCTGATCAAGGCTACGCCCAATAACCGTTGTACGGACTGGAAGTTACTGTGGCGCAACCCTCAGCCGAAGTGGGCTTCGCCTAAGGCTCGAGTCATTCAGCTTGGCGATTCGGCACACTCCTTCTTGCCAACCTCTGGTAGTGGAGCGGCAATGGCCATGGAAGACGCGTACTCCTTGGCAACTTGCCTACAATTGGGCGGCAAGTCCAACTTCGCCTTAGCTGTGCGAGTTCATAACCATTTGAGGTATGCAGTATACGGATTAAACACTTCCTGGAATTGTTATATTAACACCGTTTGCGCAGATTCGAACGTGTGTCGTGCGCCCAAAAAATGGGATTCCACCACCGGGAGAAATTCCACAACACCGACTGGGATGCGGTAGCGAAGAACCCGGATATTTTCAGTAAGACTACTGCTAACTGGATTATGCGCCATAATCCGGAGCAATACGCCTACGATAACTATGGCAAGTGTGCGAATCATCTCTTGATCGGAGCTCCCTTCCAGAACACCAATGTACCTCCTGGCTATACCTACAAGCCGTGGACCGTCAAGGAGCTCATGGACGCTTCAGACAGACATGAGCCTGTGGTTGATGAGGGTGATTGGTCGTGATCATGGTCCAGTACAACACTTGATCAACCCATATGTACATTGGCTGCTCTGGTTCGGTCCGTGTTGAAAAATTATGCTGTTGACTTTATGTCATTTGTCTTAAAGACGAGGTCAGTGGTTGCCATATTGCACTTCTTTATTCGATAGCAAGATTTAATCTTTCCGTAAATGGTTATAGAATAGCAGTGCAATCGAGCGCCAGTTTCATACTTTCCGTTACTTTTGATGAGTAGTCAGTCCATTTGAATTCTTCATCAAGTCCCAATGTTTCCTCTGTACTGAGCCGTGTACTTGAGGGATACCCCATATACTCATTCGACCCCGCAATCACAACAAGCGTCAATACATGATCCAGGAGCTGCACTGTTATGGTCTTACTCGGTGCATCCTTTGGAGTAGAATGTATGCTTTAAGATGACCTTCTAATGGAAGGTTTTATATCAGGATACAGGAAGCTGGTGGCGTCAGAATGAGATGCAGCCAACAGAGCAGAAAAACTATACATCAAAGCCAGTATAATACATGTTTCCATGGAGATTGTAAGCCCTTGATAGGTACAATAGGTAATAGCTCAATCAAAGTTTTGGACGATTAAAAGCCCCCCTAGTCTGAATCCGCCATGAACTAATCCTCTGAACCCTTAACCACGACAGGAAAACTGCCACTCTCAACTTGCCCACCATCCTCCACCCAGACGAGGCAGTATACCCCATCATTATCTGTGGCCTGTGCCCAGAACTGTGCTTGGAGCTCTGTGTTATTATTATAGACCAGTTGAGTGGCGAAGAGCGCGAACCCCGTGACCGTTCCGTTGATGGCAGCAGCCCGGGCAAAGGGCATAACACCGATGGCGTTGTCGTCCTCAGGCTTGATGTAGAGTGAGCCGGCTCGAGTGCCGTTGACGAAAGATCCGTTGACAATCCAGCATTCATCGGTAATAGATGGGAGGTCCCAGTACATCGGAGTGAGGTCAGCCGACTGGTTGTCCGGGTTTTGGGCGATGTAAAGCAACCCTACCATGAGAGACTCAATCGATGTCTATGGGAGAAGAGCAGGTAGGTGGAGTTGTCAAGGTAGAGAGAATACGTACCGTCGTTAACCCCATATGCAATAGGCCATGCCGATGAGTTTGCGCCGTAAGCGTAGAGAGTCGCATTTTGCTCAGAACCACGCTTCACGTGGTCATTACGAGCAGAGCAACGTCCCACCTGTATGGCGAAAAGATGGTATAGGAGGCTCGACCACTGCATGTTTCCGCGAGCAGGACATATACTAGGACAATGACTTGCCAGGCTGAATTATTGTTTGCTGTCGACTAAGGGAGGCCTCAAGAGCGCACGTATGAACTTGATAAAAGATTAGGAAACAACAGGCAATACCTCAGGGGTCGACTTGATGGTAGCCCATGCCATAATCTTACTACGTGTACTTCCCGGGGAGCTCGGAACTGTCGATCAGCATATCCATAGCTTAGACTCTAGGAGTCGACAGTGAGTTTCTTCTCGACGCATGTTCCATGATATGGGCGTTGTACCTGAATCCGTATGTACAGGGACACGTAATCCTCTCCAACGAAAATCGTGGATTATTTATGATCTTCATGGATTAGTCGCTCGTGGGTAAGATAGGGTTGGCTGCCCGCCTCCCTAGGGCTTAGCATTAGCCTCAAGCACACTATAGAGATAGTCTTAAAAAAGCTTAAAATAGCTCCTCCAATGGCTTATACATTTGTGGGTCTAACGCGGCTGATAATTTGGTGGCCACGTACTCAGGAAAGTGGGCTCCGGATAGGACTATGTCGATGATCCGTGGATATAATCATACCCGTCCACTCCCAGCCCATGAAAGCAACTACGTAAGTCGGCGGCTCCACTTACGACGTGTACTCCGTAATATCCTATTTTCAAGCCCAGCTCCGCAGGCCTCATCGAAAAGGGGATTTAGACTAGGGAGGATCGAACGTGCTACAGAAATACTGGTACTGCATACACAGACCTCCACCTAGCTAACCACTCTCTCCTCATTCTCTTTAAGTTTTCTATACGAATCAGGATACTTGGTATAGGCTTATCAAGCTCTCTGTTTGGGTGGGATAAGCTAGACAGAGACGCTGCCAGGATAATGTGTCCCAAAACTCCTGGTATGGAAGTCAATGGTGGGACCCATAGCTCTAACACATCCATAAGGGATACTAGAGATTTGCAGATCTAGACCTAACATAGATTACCGCTGGGCGACTATCGATTAGTTCATTTCGCGGCCTTCCAACGAGACTATAATTCTGTAAATGTGTAGCCCCATTACACGGTTCCGCTCAGCCCTATGGAGAATCGCAATGAATTGAGTTTCTGTAGAAGAAGGCACAGGCTTTCCAATGGTCTTAATAACAGTAAGGGGCGTTTGTTGGTTCACACTTCAATTTTGCTTTTCATTCTCTCTACCCCGTTCTGACTGGACTCACATTCCTTCGACTTCCCTACCCTAGCCTACTCAGTCATTTGCTCATTATTGCTTACCATCGTTTACGTGTTTTGGCACTTCGTACAGCTGCCTGTAATTGTATAATGTTTCTTCGATCATTTCTATTATTGGCATCTGCCATCCCACCTCTGGCGCTTGGAGCGTCACTACAATCTAGTACCCGTGGTACAGGTTGCACCCACGGCCCTTCAAACCGAGCATGCTGGAACGATGGGTATGACCTATCGACCAACTACTATGAGGATGTACCAGATACGGGTGTGGTTCGCGAGTATTGGTTCAATATCGAGAATACTACCGCCGCTCCTGATGGTGTCGAGCTGCCCGTTCAGCTCATCAATGGCTCCTTTCCTGGGCCCACGATCATTGCGGATTGGGGTGACACGATTGGTAAGAGAATCACTATGCCTGAATTGAATTCTGAGCACTAATGTCGCTAAATGAAGTCGTCCATGTTACAAATGCACTACAAACAAATGGCACTGGGCTCCACTTTCATGGAATTCGCCAAAACTGGACCGACCAAATGGACGGTGTCCCCAGCATCACTCAATGTCCGATAGCTCCAGGTGATTCCAACACTTATAGATGGCGAGCAACTCAGTATGGCACAGGCTGGTATCACTCTCACTTCTTCGTCCAAGCGTGGGATGGCGTCTTTGGAGGAATTGTCGTGAATGGTCCAGCAACAGTGAACTATGATGTCGATCTCGGGCACTTGTTTTTGAATGACTGGTACCACGTCCGTAGTCCCCGCAAGCTTGGTACTGAGTATAAAATCAATCTTTTGCTAACTACGGCGTCTCAGAAAACGGCAGATGAACTGGTTTTGGAAGCATCAACCGGGGGTCCACCAACCGCCCCGAACGGTCTTATTAACGGGACCAACACCTACGGCTCCCTAGGTTCCCGTTTTGAGACTACGTTTGACGCCGGAACCAGATATCGTATTCGCCTCGTTAATGCTGCCGCAGACAACCACTTTCGCTTCATGATCGATAACCACACAATGGAGGTGATTGCAACAGACTTCGTCCCCATTCACCCGTACAACACAACCCAGCTGAGTATCGGCATGGGCCAGCGGTATGATATTATTGTTACCGCCAAGGAGCTAAATAGCGGTAACTTCTGGTTGAGAGCAATTCCACAGGAAGCATGCTCGGAGACCGATGCGGTAGACAACATCAAGGGCATCATCCGCTACAATAGCTCGTCTACTGCTGAGCCAACCACATCGGCGTACGCCTATACAGACAGCTGTTCCGACGAGTCACCATCCAATCTCGTCCCATATCTGGCTATCAACACATCCGAGAGCTACGTGTATAGCACTAGCGAAGACGTTGCAGTTCAGGTTACCGAGAACGCCTTGCTGTGGACAATGAACAAGACATCGTTCCGCACCCAGTGGGATTACCCGACCCTCATGCGCGTAGCAGAGCATAACCATACGTGGACTGCAAAGGAGCGGATCATCCACCTCCCATATCGAGATGAGTGGGTATATATGGTGATTCATTCGCCCTTTGCTCAAGACCACCCGATGCATCTGCACGGGCATGATTTCTGGGTTCTCGGCTCGGGGTACGGTGAATTTGATTCCTCCCAGGCAGATGGCTTAACGTTGGTCAATTCTCCTCGCAGAGATGTTGCTATGATGCCTGCCAGTGGCTATTTAGTTATTGCGATCAAGACAAACAATCCCGGTGTAAGTTTCACTTTTCCGCCCATGTATCTATTCAATCAGTACATTAACCGCCTCATCAAATCCTAGGCATGGCTCATGCACTGCCACATTGCCTGGCATACGTCCGAAGGCTTTGCAGTACAGTTGCTAGAGCGGGCTTCAGAGATTAGTATTGATCACGATACGCTTAACCGCACCTGCGCAAATTGGAAGAGCTATGTCGCTGCTCAAAGCGTAGTCCAGCATGATTCGGGTGTGTGAACGAGGCGTAAAGTCCTACTAGATTAGTTGTACGATCTACACTATCTCCAAATCGGATTGTTCGTGAAGTTAGACATACCTTGGTAGTGTAGATAACTAGTTTGGTTATATAAGTATAATGATTCTCTTCTTAACACATCATATGGAAAGAGCAAATCTTTGTTCTGTCTAGGACAAAGTAGTGTATACTCTAAGGAACATGGGACAACAGATGCCGCAAAAAGCGAGCTAAGGCAGCCACACCCTCAACATCAGCCTGCCAAAAGTCGAGCATCTTAACCGTCGCCTCCACCGCTTCATCCCAACCAACAGGAAGAAGATCTCGCATGCTAGACCTTGCGACAGCGAGCAAAATGCATGCACTTCTGGCAGACGTCCGTAACATCAGCCAGGTTCCATGATGTCGGTGATAAAACCCGACCCGATTGACATCCAATCTCTCCAAATGGGCCTGAAGGCCCTTTGCAACCCACCCCTGCGCTGTTTGTCCCAGCGGGATATTATTCACCGCGCAGGCGATATATGGCCAAGTGATCAGTTCATTGACATATGTTGATCGGCCTTGGAGTATGAAGCGAAGAACATCGGTTTCGGGGGTTTGGCAGGGGGGGTCGGCGATGCTGACCGTGGATGGTAAGGAGTGAAGACAGGCGACCAGTTGTTGTTTATAAATCTCGCTGATGTCAGTTAGACCATCGGGAGTGTTGCTGTTTGGCTCGGACAGACGAGTAGTCATATCTTTCCTAATCTCTGTCTCAAGTCGCCAGAGAGAGATCTCGGAGAGATAAAAGTACCACGCGCGGAGGATCTCCTCATCATCTGTAAGGGGTAGAGTCGGGAAGCGCTGGGGCGGCTCCAAGGAGATTCGAGTACCGAAGTCAGGAAGGCCTAATTCCCAGCGGAGCTCTCGTTCGGATTTCCATGATGACCAATAGATGCTCTCTTCAGCTGGTGTACCTGTCTGGGTGGCTTCGCCCATGAACTTGAAACTCTGGCATACGGCTAATGCCTGCAAAAACGACCGCCATGCATCGAAGGGTCGGAGGCAGGACATTAGATACACACCGGCGAAGAATAAACATTGAGCCTGGACAACGCCTGCGGAGTCTAGGGTTGCTCCAATACGCTTCAACGCTGCTGTGAACAGCCTGCGACCAGGAGACGCACGCAGCTCCTCGGCAGAGATGGAGGGGGCCAAGAAAGGGCCAGTAATCGCCCCGTTCGCACAGACTAGTAGCGCCAGGCAGGATTCGGAATCCCAGCTTGGGCCTTCTAGAGAGACTTTACGAACAAGACGACGGATAAATGGCTCGTCGAGCACTGGGTTCTTCGGATGAACGTGGGCAAAAAAGCTGTCCAGGTATGCATTGGTGATGCCCGGATTTAATTCATCGCCATCCAAAGAGGGTTGAGCGGGCGAGGTATGGTCGCTTTGTGGACTGGGAATATGAGAGCTTTCGGTGGCTTGGTAATTGATATCCTGCAAGATCGGCCATTTCAGTACATCATCAAGATCCTCCGGAAGCAAGCTATCTGGGTGCTGAGACTCCTTGGCAACCGTATAGGCTGTATTTGAGTCATTCTCGGCGTTGAGTGTTGGCAAAGGTACCAGATGTGAGCTAGGCTGTTGTTGTTGTTGCTGTGGTTGGATCGAATCGATCTTCTGTTCGAGTGTGTCTAGGCGTTCGAGAATCGCGAGGCTCGCCGGGTCAAAGGTAGACAACGCCGTGGGATCGAAGACACATTCGGCGCCGGTCTTTTCGCAGAATGAACAGCGGGGTTTCTTCTGGTCGCATTTTGTGCGTCGGGAACGGCACACTTGACAGGCAGTGACGGCTCTTTTGCGGGGATACGCCGCGCTGCTTCTACTGGTGGGAGCTACTCGCTTCATCTTCAGGTTTATGTACTGCTACATAACGCGGAGTGTCGGGAGCGCGGTTAAATACTTAAAAGGATTAAATTGCCCCGCACTTTGCGGGGATGATCAGCAAGAGAAACAACATGGTCTTGGTCTAGACTACTAAGATCCTGGTGTAAAAGTTATGTGGCTAGACTAAAGACACAGTCGTGCCTACAGAACCCCCATCACCAGCGAATGATGCCACTTCCAGTTGAGCTTCCTTCGTCCGGAGGGTAAAGCTACCGACCTTCCATTGCTGTAACGACCTGGTAGAAGCCAAGAATCTCATGGTAGTCTTCTGCCCCACCGCCAGATCCACGGGGGCAAAGCCAAGGAGCACGCGAGTCGGGAAATCTGGAATGCTAGTCACGGCATATACTTGTGCGATGAACCGTCCAGGCCTGTTTCCTGTGTTCTGGACATTGACCGCGATCTGAATGGACTCAGTATCGACTCTTTCGGCGACTATATTGTCCACGTCAAAAGTTGTGTACGACAGCCCAAATCCGAATGGAAACGCGGCCTTGACCCCTAGCTTATCGAGCATATGCTGTCCAAACCACCGGTTATAATGAATCTCTGCTGCGTCCCGGTCGAAGAAAGGAAGATGCGCTTCGCTGGTGGGAATGGAGAAGGGGAGCCTGCCACTCGCATCCACCTTTCCTAGAAGTACGTCGCCAAGACCATGCCCACCTTCACTACCGCTGTACCAGCTAATCAAGAGGGCTGGCACTTTGTCCTTCCATTCTTCCATAATCACAGAGCCCGCCGTAATGACAGATACTACAGTACGCGGATTGTAGGCAGCCACTGCGGATATCAACTTCACGTCCTCATCGCGGAGTCTTAGTGAGGTCCGATCACCGCCAGCTCCTGCCTCGATCCCACTATTACCTCCTTTGTCGGAGTTACCCTCGAAGATATCTAGAGTCTCGCGCTCTTCCACAGTAGTTGTCGGTGGAAGCGTGTCTCGCAGGGCTGGGTTGTCCTGAAGGGCTGGTACAACGTACTCGCCTTCGTCCTCGTGGGTATAGCCCACAATGCAGATCACGACATCGACCTGAGAGGCAAGCTGCTCGGCTTCGTTGATTGAACCCGCAAAAAGCACTTCTGTACCTGGCAGCGCCGCTCGGATTCCGTCGAGTGGCGTGACTACGCCGGGCGGAAACACTTGGGAAGATCCCCTATCCCCAGTGTTGGCGATGTTCGCGAGGCGACCAACAACAGCAACACGAGACAACGATTCACCCTGAAGCGGAAGCACAGGTCTCCCATCGACAGTGTCGTTCTTTAGGAGGACCATAGACCGAGCAGCGACCTCACGCGCCAGTGCTCGATGCTCGTCGCAAAACACCACGTCGGGACTCGGCTGACTATCCTCCGTACGCACGGTAAACTCGATCTGCTTCCGAAGGATCCTCTCGCAAGCACGATCGACGTCTTGCCAGTCCAGCTCTCCCGATTCCAAAGCGAGGGGCAACTTCCTGGCTCTCTGTTGTCTGAACGGTGCCTCGATATCCATGCCATTCTTCACGGATGCTGCCGCGTCGCGCAAGCCGAAGATAAAGTCGGACATGACCAACCCATCAAATCCCCACTGATCCCGTAAAATCTCCGTCAATAAATGTCGGTTCTGCCCGGCCCACTCGCCATTGACAGAATTGTAGGACGACATCACGGCAGCCACACCTCCCTCGACAATGCGCCGGAAGTGTGCTAAATAGACTTCATGCAACACCGCTTCCTCCACACTCACGTCGACCCGAAAGCGCGCGTTCTCCATCGAGTTCAACGCATAGTGCTTCACACATGCCATGACATGTTTCTGCACACTCTGCGTCAGCGCCAATCCAAATTCTCCCAAAAGAAGTGGATCCTCTCCGTAGGTCTCTTGAATGCGACCCCAGGCGGGATGCCGCGGGAGATTCACGCAGACACCGGCAAAGTAGTTCGCGCCTTGGGCTTTGGCTTCGCGACCGATGGCATCACCAACGCGACGTTCCAGCTCAACGTCCCAAGTGGCGCCCCGAGCCATGGGGACCGGAAATGCCGTGGAACTCCCCATGACTACGCCGCGGGGGCCGTCGGTGAACTTGATCCCAGGAATCTGTTTCCTGGGGGTGGCCCCGTGAACGTATGGAGTTCGGTTGTAGCGGTCGCATAGTATCGACCGTAAACCGGGCCAGAAATCGACATCCCCATCGAGCAGTGAAAGACGCTCCTCTTTTGTTAGTTGGGATAGAAGAGTTTCGGTTGTTGCGGCCAGAGACTGGCCAGCTTTGACGTCGGCGATAGCGTCGCTGAAGGTATATTCTGCATGGGAGCCCATTGTGAATATACTTTCTGGAGGTGTAGTAGCATATCTTTGAACCTGTTTGTATGGCCATATTTATATTTCCATGATAGCGATAGCCTGTATCGGAAGGCGGGGTATGGATGTCAAAAGCTATCATGCATGGTGGTAGTGTATCCCGATACTCCGCGCTTTTTAGCCAAAATGAGTCGTATTTACCCATTACCTCTCATGCATGCCCTGCGATGTCATTGCTTTCAGACAATAAATCATTGCATACAGGATCTACAGAGATATTGGAAACTAGCTAGCCGCTCCACAGAAGGACGCCATACCTTAGAAGCATTCAGTCATGTTATCCTATATCATTGCTTCATGGTATTGTGCTTGGAGGTTTTGAGGTTCTGTGTCATATGGCCTATGTCTCATCTGATGTCTTAGATAACTTTCCATAATTTATATAGGTTTTTGTTGTATATGATCATGTCACACAGTACATCAGCTTATTCACTTGGTATTAGGATGCTTGAGCAAGAATCCTATCCTCGCTCTTGTCGTAGGTATATGCCCTTCCTTACGTGAACTATACTTCCACAAAGCTATACCACTACCTCGTAGGTCCCCATCTTTCGCGGTGGCACCCGACTACGAAACAAAACATCTATCTCTTCATACGTTTTCCCCTTCAGTTCAGGAATATAAAAGAAACACACTAACGTCGTGGCCAACGACATTCCCCCGAAAATAAACCCGACTTTCCCTTTGAGATTCTGTGGCCACACGTTAGTGATTCGATAGACGAGTGAGGATATGACAGGCAAAAGGCTCACCCCGGAATCTGGATTGACCATATACGGCACCACAAAATTCATAACAATACTCCAGACTGCTTGAGTAGCGGTCGCCAGCGCTGTTGTTTTCGCTCTTAATTGTAGTGATGACACCTCGCCCAAAAGGACGAAGGCCACTGCACCGATGGTAAGAAAATATACAAAGGAATACACAACGGTGAGTGAGGCCTGAGCCCATTTGGCAGCTCCGGTTGGTATGACGTCTAATATCCCGATCAGGAGAAGCAGGGCCGTGCAGCCAACCATTCCGCCGAGGAATATGGGACGACGACCTATGCGGTTGACCAGGAACCAGGAGCAGAAGTTTCCAGCTACGCCGCATGCGGTGACGCCAACGCCTAAATCAAAGGCGCTCGAAGTACTAACACCTGCTAATTGGAAGAAGTAAGTGGAAAAGCTGAGAACAAAGACAATCCCGGCTAGATGCTGGCAGGTAAAAGCCCCGATCGAGATCAGTGTGCGGATTCGGTCGGTGCCACGGAAGGCGGAGATGTAGCTCGGAGTCGATGCTTCTCGTTCTGCATTCACTGTGTTCTGGATTGTGGTTAAGGCTGAAGTGATGTCGGTTTCCGTCCCAAAAAGCGCTTTAAGTGAATGCTTGGCTTCGTCGATGCGACCTTGCCGCACGAGATAATACGGAGATTCTGGAGAAAAGATGCTTCCGGTGAGGAGAATGACAGAAAAGAGGATTTGAACAAGGAAAGGTCCCCGGAAGGCCCAGACATCATTGCGATTGCCGAACCCTTTTGTGGCCGCGTTGGAGGCGAGTTGGCCAACTGCAATTGCTAGATTGATGCCCGCTGAGGAAAGACCACGGAGAACGACGGGAGCGATTTCTGAGCAAGTGATCGGCCCTAGAGTCAAGTAGAATCCAACACCGAATCCCAGGATGAGCTTGCTAGCGATAAACGCCCCTGCACTGCTTGAGAAGGTCTCGCCGAAAATACCGCCCGTAGCGATCACAACTCCCACGGCCAGACTCTTCTTACGCCCAATGCGATCAGCCACATAGCTGCAAAGAAACCCGCCGAAAAACTGTCCAACGGATGATATGACATTAAAGGCACTGAGCCAGTTGGCGGGGATGACAGGGTTCCCTTGGTACACATATCTACTGCTCTTAGTGGCGGGCGTAATGAGAACAAGAAATAGCATAAGAGTTACCCGTAGTATTCACGAAATGCCGGTACACTGACCATGGCACCATTTACCTGCGTGTCAAACCCCCCTTATATAGTCAATTCAGGCCTACAGGTTTAGCGAATGCAAGAACGACTTACATCCCAAAGCACACATGCACCAGAACACCGACCACCCAATGATTTTTGGATGTCGTCTGAGCAGTTGAGCAAAAGTCAGTTTCTGCTCATCATGGCACTCCTCAGGCACAGGTGTCTTGATAGCGTCCAGCTCGACATGCTCAACAGATATTTTCCCCTGGACTGACATGATAACGATTCGTAGTGGTAATGATATTGTAGAAAATGTCACCTCGCTGATAACCCCGTTGCTGATGAGGCCACCTCACTGGGACATACTTATTCCCCGCCTCGTTCTCTGTAAAGACTGAAGCATAAATAACACACCAACGAATAGCGAACCTAAAGTGGTGAAGCTCCTGTGGAGATGGTGTCACTAGACACTACCCCAGATCTTGGCTGTGATCCCGATACTCCCCAATAACCCTATTGCTTTCCCGATACTCCGCATGCCGTCGATCGTCATGCTTTGATCTATCCCGACACTCCGCGACAATCCTAGGGCATCATCGGACATATCGAGCTATTACTATCATACGGTGCTGCCTCAGACTGAGACACCCCGAAAACTGTCTCATCAAGATATCAAGGTATATACCTCTAACGATATAAATATAGCTGTTACTCCTATTATGCATTTGCCAAAACGACCAGGTCTCAGTCTTGAAAAAATATATCGTGATAATGTGGAAATTTGGAGTATTTGCCGTCTTTCTACCTCTTATTTCCTGTCAGGTTATCAGCAATCCCAAACCTGATCCTTTCACTGACTTCACCAATTATATCATCTGGTATCCCGAAACCAACGCCGTGCAATGGCACACGCTGTACGCTCGCTCGCTCCAGCTGCCAGACGAGTCTCTACTTATTACGTGGGAGAACTACCCCAAAGAGCCACCACTGGTGAACCATCCCATCTACAAATCCGTCGATGGAGGTTCAACCTGGACCAATTTCTCCGCGATCACTGACGAGAAAAATGGCTGGGGAATGCGGTTTCAACCTGAGCTGTTCACCTTGCCAGTAGGCTTCGGTGGATACGCTGCAGGATCTATTCTTGCTGCGGGTGTATCGGCCCCGTTCAGTCTCGAGGGTGGCGTCTATATCGACCTCTATATCAGTGAAGATGAGGCCGCAACATGGACATTTGTTAGCCACATCGCCTACGGCGCCGGCCCAGAGACCATCACCAACGGCAACGCCGCCCTCTGGGAACCCTGGTTGATGCTCTATGACGGGCAGATCGTCTGCTTCTTCTCTGATCAGCGCGATCCACTGCACAGCCAGAAGCTGGTCCATGTCAGCACCACTGACCTCCGGCATTGGTCGGACCCCGTCCCGGATGTAGCATACGCAAGACAGGCCGATCGACCCGGCATGACAACAGTCGCGCACATCGAATCAACGGATTCTTACATCATGACATACGAGTATTGTGGTCAGGGTAATTGTGATGTGTATTACAAGGTTGCCTCGTCCCCATTGGAATTCGACTCGGCTGAGGGGATTCCGCTTGTTTCCAATGATACGAACCCGATCACGCCCCATAACACGCCATATGTGATCTGGACACCGCACCCTGATCGGACGGATGGGTCTGGACTGATTATTGTCAGCGCGCTCAGTCACGAGGTAGTCTTTGTGAATGAGGATTCGGCAGATCCGGATGGATGGAAGACGGTCGATGTGGGTATGTGGTCGGCCTATTCGCGGAGTATGAGGATAATCACCCTTCAGGGTGAGAAGAAACTGCTTTTTGCGAATGGAGGCAATATGGGCAATCCGGAGGATAATTCAGTTGCGTGTGGTGTCGTTGAGATACCTACTTAGGACTATTGACGACACAAATAGGTACCAACTGCTAAGGAAGCTAGACAACTGTAGTATACATGAATATCCACAGATTTGATCTTACAAGTGGGGTCTCAAAGGGATAAAACAATCGATATGTATATTTATATTATTACAAGAGCGAGTGTGCTTGTGTACCTGTGGGTTTGGGCTGGTTTAATGTTGAGTACACAAACCTTTCGAACTCGGTAAGCAGCTGAACAGACTGTTGGTCTCCCATAGGTACAAGCTGAGATAAATATATGCCAGCGACGCCATTTTCAATATCGATCCACTGGAGTTATTAAAAGAGTCAGCTAGGATCTTCATTTGGCACATTAGAAGGACTTACCCAGTAGCAATTCGGTATACCAGACCAGGTGAGCGAATGTGACCCACGCTGCTCGGGGACCGCAGCGGTGTTAACAAGACCACCAAGCCCAAAGCTAACAGGTACGTCGTGTGGCACAGCATTCCAAATTGCATTCCGGACCGGGGGCGGGTACTCATCCGGTTTGCTGAGGCAAGTGGCATCTCCCAATTGTGGCTGGAACATGACCTTGATAGTCTCAGGCCGTAGCAGCTTCTCAGTGAGAACACCGCGGTAGATCTTGAGCATCGCGCTGACTGTTGCGTAAACACCGCCACCCCCCTGGTCCTCTGTAATTGGGTCGGGCATTACAGGATTCTTTTCCTCTTCTAGGCTCTGACCCACTCTCTCCCAGTTCTTAGCCTTCCGCGCCCGAAGGTCCTCTCTTTGGTCGAGATGAAAGGTAACGTCTTTAGCGGAAACAACATCGAATATATGTTGCTTCATGTATTCCCCCAGCCTCATGGAAGTGACTCGCTCGACCTATAAGTTTGTATCGTCAGCTACCAATCCCTACTGAGTCAGAAGTTTCAGAGTTTACCGCGACTCCAGCCCAGTCAACGCTTGGTGAATACAGCCAGCGTTTGCCAGGTTCGAATACCAGGAAAGGGTGATAGGACTCTTTCTGCACATTCTATCAGCTGCGTCAATCAGAATATGGGGTGTCTACTAACAACAGTCTGCTGAATCAGAGGTCGTTCTCCTTGTAGTTGTTGGTAACGACCCAAAAGCGGGTGCATGAACACATAGGCCATGCCACTGGTGTGAGTCAACATGTGTCTGGGAGCCGTTAACATGTGAATAAATCTAATCGTACCTTGAGCGCAGTATGTAGATGACTTACCGAAGAGTAATGGCCTTAGTGGCCGGTCGAAAGATGGGTTCGTCCTTCTCATTGAAGCCTGTTAATATTTGGGCATCTTGCCACTCCGGTAGCACATTACTGATGTCGCCATCTAGGTCTAATTGCCCTCTTTCAACACACTGCATCACAGCAACGGTAGTTAGAAATTTTGTGCCGGAGGCGATCCAATGTACGGCATCAATGTCCGCAATGTCGGCCGGGTCATCCCCAAAAGCCTTAGCGTAGTGAAAGGATCCTTGATCGTTGATGATTAGCACACGCGGAGCATTGATAGCACAAGGGACTTCCTAGGTGCTATACCATCTCTATTAACGGCGCCCAACGTGACCCGAGGGAGGCGCTGCTTGTCTTCCCCGGATGGGTTCCGGATAGAATTGACGGTTTCATCGAACGAGGTCATGGTGACAAAGCGGCTTCTGAGTGCTGGTGAGGAAGGATTCGTTGGATTTATTGTCCGCGACCAAGTACATTGATGTGTAGAGTTGGCTGTTAGAGATTAATTCACGTACCTAGCTTATCCAGAGGTAATTATAGATCCATTTTATAATGCTGAACCCCGCGGACGAGGCGGGCACCAGCTGTCTAGAATGCGTGCGTAATTAACGGTCGACAAGGCTAAATGTACGCCCTCATGCTTTCATGGTTTTCAACCATGGTAGCGAGGATCCTTCGCTCCAGGCCCACTTCCGCTACATAAAGTGGTTGGAGGCCTTCCGACGCTACCGTTATATAACTCCTTTAGACCTTAGATAGTTACAGCTAGTGCACGCCAACGGGCACAGCCCCGAGCCAACTGCCGAAGTGCTTTCCCCACATGTTGAATCCACGGGCTTCGGCTATTTCTGGCAAATGTCAAAGGCTTGGACTGTTGGTTGCAATACTTATTTCATGTCTCCCACCATGTGGCCGAGGTGGCTTTACTCAGACTCGGTTGGGCCACAAAGAGGGCATCATACCAACAAACAACTAATAAATCATAGACAACATGATATAAGCTTATGCAACATCCCTCAGCGGTTTATTTCCACGACGCTTATCTATGAGTAGGGCATTAAAGGGCAGCAAAATCTCATGGTATTTTATTGGGCAACGGCTTGTTCTACATACTGTCAATTGGCTGAAATCATCCTCTCCCCCCTTCACATTCTATGCCTCTGTTCTTATTATTGCCATCTCTGTCGCTCGCAATGGACGGTCTTCGCTCCTTCTTTCCCCTTTCTGCTATACTATCATCACAGAACGGTGACAAAGAGCTGTAAATTTTTGGGCGCATCATAGAGACGCAGCGGAACTTGTAAATCCACCGTCCACAACCAAAATCTGTCCAGTTATATATTTGGCCGCATCGCTAGCCAGAAACACGGTAGAACTGGCTACATCGAACGCATCTCCCATGCGCCCCAACGGGACGGGCTGCTGTGTGATCTTATCATAGACTTCTTGCTGGCCGTTGAATTTGAAGTTATCGACCAAAGGTGTGTGGATAAAGCCCGGTACTACTGTGTTCAATCGAACACCTTTTGGTGCATACATGACCGCTGTAACCTTCGTAAACTGAATCACCGCAGCCTTTGCCGCAGAATACGCGACCTGTGGCTTTCCAATGTACCTCAGGCCCGCAATGGAGGCATTGTTAACCACACACCCCGACCCTTGCTTTTCCATTATCGGAAGCACTACATGGCAGGCTAAGTAGACGCTTCTCAGATTAAGGTCGATTTGTTTGTCCCATACATCGGCAGACATGCTGGCTGGATCTCCAGCTACTGTGGCGCCCACGTTATTGATCAAGATATCGATTCGCCCGTACTTCGAAATCACAGCGTCCGCGACCCTTCTGACGTCCTTTTCAGACGTCACATCGGCTTGGGCAATGTCACATTTTCCACCTTCTGCGTGGATTCGTGAAGCGGTGCGCTCTGCTGCTTGGAGATTCACATCGCAACCGAAAACTTGGACACCATTTTGGGCGAGGCTTTGAGCGATAGCTGCCCCATTGCCCCATGCCTCCGAGCCTGGTACGTGTGTTTGGCCAACCCCCATAATCAGGGCGACTTTACCATCGAGATCTGGATATTTTGGGAAATTGGACATTCTGTAAGATTGGTGATGTTTGTTAATTTTCTGGATATTTAAGGGGGTATCTTGCTGTAAACGGGTAGAAACAACAAAGTCCGGAGAAACGTGGAGGTGTTCCTTGAATTGGTACTCTCTGATATTGAATCCGTTGCACCGATGCGTTTATAAGTTATAAATGACCCATGTATTCAAAGCAATGGTCTGTCGTGATTTGAAAAGAGGGCACGTAATCAACCCTCTCGGCCAGTTGTCCGAGTAGCGCTGCGGGGTTGCTTTCTCTTCATGTTGAACATCAACCGGAGTTGTTTCAATTGTCCCCGCGAAGGTCTGAGCCTTTGGAGGTAAAGGAATGCATCCAATAGTTATGGTGCATGGCTGATGAATAGAATATTCTCTTTCTCCAACGCTTTTCTTCCACTCGCTGTAGCAGGCTTTATGCCAGGATTGCCATCTTTCTTGGTTCGGGGCTTCTCCGGGCCCTCAGATATTTACATAACCATTATTCTGAGGCCAGTCGAGTTGATATTCGATATAATAGTAAACAGACTAGCAGAAATACATATAAATACAACACTATAGACAAAAGGGAAAAAAACCTACACATCAGATCTAGTCCAATAGTTTGCCAACATGAGTCCTCCAAATCCACCCATCCAAAGCTCCGTGGCCGAGCTGTTCCACACCATTGAGACCAGCTTCCAGTCAACGAGCCTAGGACCCGATAGTTGGTACCTCCTCACTATTGCCTGTCTATCCGGTAGTCCCGATCCCGAGTTAGCCAAGGAGCTGTATCTCTACGTTATCCAGAAAGAGGAAAATTCCAATCCAGCCGCCCGCCAGGCATTCGTGCGTCGAATCCGTGAAGCCCTAGTCAAATGTGTCTCCATCGTGGGTTGCTGCAAGCCCATCGAGGCCATCATTGCCATAAGTCAGGTTGAGCAGGAAGAGGACAGGGATTACAGTCTGACACGGGAGGACTGGCAATGCGATCAGGCAAACCATGAGAGAGGCATGAGATGGTATCGAGCCATTTACACTCGGGACGAGAAATCTACTTTGGGTCTATTCGATGCGCATCGTGACTTTCAGTGGATTTCGAAGGAAATCACCTATGGCCTGTACCTATCCGATCGCCAAGTGCTAAATGATTTCGAGACTGAGATGATCGTGTTGGCCAGCATTATGATTCAGAACCTGAAAAAGGAGACCCACTGGCATATCAGAGGGACGAGGAGAATTGGGGTGTCAAAGGAAGATACGCAGGTTTTGTGGGACTGTATCCAACGCGTTGCTCGGTTTTTTGGCATGAGAATGAACAAGGTCCCGACCGTTGATGAGGTGGAATATGATGTGTGAATGCAACAAGGCTGATATTATGGTCTAAAAAAGAGACCTTTGATGTTCTCGAAGGATGGCTTTGGGGAAATTCACAGACGCTCAGTAGTTAAGATGGAGTAAATATTTATTAAGTCCATGGATACTCATTATCATTCCAGAGCTGCAACCGGGATACACACAACGTAAATTTGTTTGCCATTGAGCCAGGTCTGCAAGTATGAATCTCTAGTCTTTCCCAATCTATCACACTTTGGCCTTGATCTTTGGCAGCTGATAGCCACCTGTTTCTTGGATTACATTAAACGCTCTGTCCATAAACTCCTTCACATCCCCTCCTAGCCACCCTGGGATCACATCGCCCCGGGTAAGCTCTAGCTCGCGCAGAAATTTCCCAGCAACCTGTTCAAAATTAGCCTTACGCGGGATGACTTCTGGAATGTCGCGGGCTTTTGCGTACCAACAGGCAACTGCCACTGTTGTTGTCATCTAGAGCCGACTGAAGTATGACCTCCCCCACCATCTCTGGCGTGTTAGCTTCTAGTCCGGCTGTCTTCCAGCGCTCGGATAGACCGGAGGTTATCGCGGTTGGTGTGAAGAATGGGGCAACGGCCGTAATTGAAATGCCATATTTCTTTGCAGCCAGTTGCGATGCCCTTAATAGTCCAATAACACCGTGTTTAGAAGCGATGTATGCGGCGACCCCTGTTCCCCCAAAGTACCCGGATGTAGATGCTACTAACACGATCGACGGTTGTCCATTCTTTGTGGTGGAAGATAATCGCATATGGTGCATGGCCAGCCGCAATGCTAGTAGTCAGGCGATAGAAGCCGTTAGTAGCTGTAACATCATTGAGTGATTGGTACGTACTATTCAAAGTTCCTTTGATATTAATATCAAAAACCCTAGATGCTTCTTTAGACTCGCGCAGGTTTCCCTCGCTATCCACATCGTCCATATCTAGAACATGCTCCGATTCCATTACGCCAGCATTGGCTACAACAGTGTCCACACTTCCGAAGATCCCAATTGTTTGCTTAAACAGGCTTTGCATTTGCTGCCAATCCCGTATATCGACCGCAATGAAAACAGCATTTGCCGGATATGCGAAGGAAGCAATAATCTCTTTTGCGTTGCTCTCGAGGGCTGGAATATCTGCAAGAACAACTTTGGAACCGCGGTTGTTAAACTCCCTAGCCGTTGCCGCCCCGATACCTCCCCCTGCTCCTGTTATGATCACCGTTTGCGATCTTGCACGCTCAAGGGTTTCCTGTTTTAGTTCTTTCGAGCTCATATTGGCTGTTACGAAGCAGCTCTCTGGTGTGCAACGAAGTGAAACGGCTATTATGGAAGTGTGGTCTTATATTGTCATATATGATAGTTACATGTGCACCACGCGCTACTCGTACTTTTCATGATAACCCCACTTGGGTGGTGGTGAGGAAATGGTGGGACTGAAGTGTAGATCAGAACGAACCCCACTTGCGGGGATGGCATGTTTGCTCATCGACTGAAGCGGGGTTTGACAATTCGACAGACATCATGTAGGCGATATCAAGGGTGGCAAGAGTAAGCCGGGGAGCATACTACCATCTCCGACAATGGGAATATAAGCTCGCCTAGAAATGACATCTCTCCTGGTCAGCTGAACCTATAGGAAGAGATCGTTGCCCTAGTTGAAGTCAATCTTGTAATGCGCTGTCTGCTGTCTACGCGCCAATCTCTCGACTAGTGACGTGGGCACTTCCTCCCCATGCCCAGACCAGATATACCGAGGGGACCGTGCGATCCTGCAGCTCTCGTAGACCAAACCCTACCCCGCAAAGCTCAGAGCGTTATGCTGATCGGATACCTCCCCGACACCTTGGAGTTTAAGCTTATGATACCACTTGTAATCGAATCCTTACAGCTGCAGAGCTAGTAATGTCATGTTATCCTGTTTTTTCTTCTAAGTTCGGCTTTTGTTCTAATCCCCGGTGAAATATACCCCATACAGGGTCTCAAGTCTGGGGTAAACCTGGATTTGCGGGGAAGACATGCCAGACACTAGGTTCGACGACTTGGTCTCATTTTCAAATGAGTTCCACAGTTGTACGATAGATTTTAACCATTCCTCTCTATTTCACACGCTTTGTAAAGCCCTTTGGACGGCCAGATAACTCTAGTGTCTTCAATCCCACCATATCTGTCTCTTTCTACTCCACTGAACAACAGCATGGCCCCAAGCGACATAGAGGCCAGTCTCGATGGAGACTCGAAGCTTGAACATGTGGAGGAAATTGAGAATGCTAGCAGGGTAGACCCGGAACTTGAAAGGAGGTAAGTCGTGGATAGGAAGTATCATCTCAAGTTACCCAAGACGTCCTACTGATATAGGGTTGGCAAGAATTGTTCGGAAGATTGACTGTCGGCTCCTTCCAACCACCGCAGTGATATACCTCCTATGTTATCTGGACAGATCGAACATTGGTAGGTGTTACATCTTTGACTTCCAGCACTCCAACTGATTGGCATGTCCAAGGAAACGCGAAAATCCTGAACTCGTCAACCAATGATACCCTAATGGACAGCAACAACGTCTCAAACTACCAATACACAATCGCAATGATGGTATTCCTCGTGGCCTATTCCGTATTTGAAGCGCCGAGCAACCTGGCATTGAAGATCTTTCATCCGCACAGGTGAGGCTGTCCAAACTACCCGAACGAGATGGGATTTCATACTCGTTTCTAAAGGATAATTAGGTGGTTGGGGCTACTTGTCATTTCCTTTGGCTGTTTCTGTACTGGAATTGGGTTTACCCACAATTTTGCAGGGCTAGCAGCCCTCCGATTTCTCTTGGGCGCTGCGGAAGCTGGTGCGTTTCCAGGTATGTACTGCTTTTACTATACTTCGGTTGACACATATCCTTCTGTTATTTGTTCTTCTCCAAGTTCCTACATAGCAATCTAATATTTATTACATCCAAGGCATGATATATTATTTCACATTCTGGTACAAACCCGCGGAACGCGCCAGTCGAATCGCAGTATTTATGTGCAGTGCCACACTTTCGGGCGCCTTTGGCGGGTATGAATAATCGTTTCGGCTTCAAGATGTTTACAGTTCCTGACAATAATAGTGCAATCGCATATGGCGTGGGCCACCTGAATGGGGCTCGAGGACTGGAGGGCTGGCGATGGCTTTTCCTGGTGGAAGGAGTTCCCACTAGTAAGTCCATTGTCCACGATACCGGATATATTAGTTATTGATTTCTTCTCCCAGTTGCTGTTGGATTGTTGGTGTTTCTTTTTCTGCCAAGCTATCCGGAGAAAGTAGGATGGCTCACGGATGAGGAAAAAGAAGCCCAAGCCCTTCGTCTTGAAGCTAGTGGTTCCTCGGGGTGAGTGATCTTTTAATATTTCCAAACAGGAAGGGCTGCTGACATATTTGGTCCAACTTCCAAGCGAAGACAAACTCAACTGGAAGGACGCCAAGGAAACTCTTCTATCAGCAAGACTTTACATCCACTACCTTACATACCTATCCATATCGGCCGGGGTTGCATCCCTATCGCTGTTTGCTCCGACGATTATTGCGGGACTAGGCTATACGGACATCCAAGCACAACTTTTTACCGTTCCTCCCTACGCTGTTGCTTACGTTGTGACCCTAGGCCTTGCTTGGCTTTCAGACCGGCTGAAATGCCGAGGAGCCATCGCATGTGGCTCCCAGATTGCTGCTGCAGTGGCTTTCATTATCCAGGGTGAGCCCCTTTGCTAAATGATACATCATATTTCTCCTTTTCACATCCAGCGCAATGCTAATTACTTACTAGCATGCTTGCCAGCTGAGGCATACACTGCACGCTATGCCTTCCTCGTCATTGCTACCACCGGGGCATTTGGGGGTCTACCCTCACTCAACGCTTGGGTAGGAGATAACATTCATACTACCACAGCCCGATCTATAACAACAGCACTCAATATTTCCTTCTCAGGCCCAGGGCAAATCATCGGAGTCTGGATTTATAGAGCCCAGGATGCCCCGGCATACCGATTGGGTCATGGTGTCAATGCCGGTATGAGCTTTCTGGCTGCAAGTTTGGCTTTCGGCTTGACGCTTTACTATCGGCGACAGAATTTGAAAATGGAAGGCACCAGTCAAACTCGATGGGTGACTTGAGAATAACAGAGATCTTCACATCTCCGCATCGGTTAGTAGTAGGATTCGGCAAATCTATACTTGTATCTAAATGGTATTTATTTCCGTTTATATTAGTAGTTCACTAGGCGACATTGGGTCCTAATAAAGTGCTACCCACCGCACGTACCACCGGCAGTCTTTAGAGCGTGATATCTCCGAGTAGAATTATCTGAGAGCTTTTGTGGCACCCGCATAGGTTTCTATCTCAGTGAATAGAATGATCCAAGTACAGAATCCAATCTAAGCCAAACAACTACTCTTTCGTGACACTAATTTTTGAAATTATAGTACTATCCTATACTGGAAATCGCTTAAAACTTACTTAGTTTTTTATCTGAAGTTGGTCTTTCAATGGAAGTGAACTAGTGAGCTGTTGGGCACGAGCCAAGTAAACCTCACCTGGCCAATTGAGGATGAATACTATCTCCCAGGCTGGAGCGTAGCTTTAAAAAATGGAACTTATCGTCTGCATTATTATGGAGATTCCAAAGATCCATCAGAGGCACTCTCCTCTTACAAGGGGATAAAACCCGAGTTTACCCTTGGAATTAGCTTTTGTTGTCTATACTTTGGAAGGTAAGGAGACGGTACGAGTAGGCTGCAGCAGGATCCAATGGTATATCAAACATTAAATATAGCCCTATATTTAAGTAACTAAAATATAGAATTCATAAATACTAGTATCTACAGAAATAAGCAAGACTTGGTAGTGTTTGGTGGTATGACTACGGAAGTGCGACTGAAAAAGATTCAATAAATATATGTTCCTGCTGTGTATCAAGTGAAACCGGGATTAATTGGTGGTAAGAGATTTTACCTTCGATAGCTGTCTAATCAGGACATGGCTGACAACTAGTTTGTGATTCGAAAGACATTCAGTTTTAAAGACATGAGTTCAATATACTAGGGCATCGCTTCCATGATTCCTAGATAATAAGTGGCGATATAAGAAGATCCATCCTCAGCCTTTCGTGCAAATGTTAACTTTCACGCTTCCTCATTAGGGTATAATGCCGCGCCGGCCCCAAATTCCAAGGATCGCACACGAGCCTGGGCAACTCAGCCTCCGCCAAGCCGTCCCCACATTGTCAGCCTTTGCTGCTCCTGCCTGTGCGATGTTGGTCTCATAGAGCGAGATTCAATACGGCGGCCCCTAAGAGAAACGAAGTTTGTGCTTATCCAGCCAACTTCCACCTATCATCGCGGAAGTCTTGGCGACTTTTGTCTGTTCGTGCGATTGTTGTATGTGTTCTGTTGGGCGTTGTGTCGGGCATCCTGTACTCCGGAGTATGAGGCCTCCAAATGTGAGAACGATGCGGACCGAGATTGGCTGGGAGGGAAGGGCTGGGCAGAGGCAAGCGAAGTGATGCATCATGGATTGGATCATGGATGTGGCAGCGGGTTGCCTGATCGGGACGGAGGTCTGCGGCGGAGCCGTGATTGGGGAAAGCGTCTTGACCGCCCACGGACGACAACAACAACAACAACAACGACGACGTCTACCAAGGCCATAAATGCTAATATTTACTCTCCTCTCCATAGAACATCCTCCCCAAACTCGGTTAGCCATCGAACTCAAATTGTCCTCATCCAGCGCTCTTACTCGCCCACCTCATCTGGAACTGCAGATCGGCCCGCTTTTGGATAAATGCAGCGACATCTCCATCTACACCCATCTGTCATTGGTGATCACTCCAGCTGCGCCAGCTTCACGAAGTGTATATATAGAGCTGGAACATCCACGATGTTCGGTATCTTGTCCTCACTAATAAATACAGCATTCAGAACCTTCTCTCATCATGTTGATCTCTAGTGTTTCTTTACTTCTCGCCTCCGCAGGGCTATCCCAAGCCTTGCCCCATGCCGGAACGAAGAGGGCAGACTCCGATGGCTTAAACTGGGCACCGTGTAATCTAGACCTCCCTGAAGGTCTAGAACCTGCAAGCACAGTTCCCGTCGACTGTGCAACCCTGGAAGTCCCTCTGGACTATACCAACCCTGACTCCAAGCCACTGGATCTCCAGTTGGTTAAGATCAGTGCGTCGAAAGAGCCCGTCAAGGGCAGCATTATTTTCAACCCGGGGGGGCCGGGATCCTCTGGCATCGATGAGCTCTACCTACAGGGGAAGGGCGAGGTGTATCGCGAGTAAGTTGCCGCTCCAGACCGAGTCATGAACGTGGCTAACGGAATGCCTAGCTTGTTCGGCGGACACTGGAATGTGGTTGGGTTTGACGCCCGGTAAGTCTTGCTATCTCTTAACTCATCATGCACCGACTAATAAAAGCCTAGGGGTACTGGCCATACTATCCCATTTGTATGCGATGTTCCACATCCTGGCATCAAGCGCAGCCTGTCTCGTCGGAGCAATGAGACTCTGCCACAAGCCGACATGTATAGTCTCTTAAAGCGCAAAGCGTGGAACGACGCTAAAGTCTTGGTGGACGCCTGCTACGAGGATCAGCAGGAAACCGGACGCTTCCTGGGCACAACGTTTGTCGCACGAGACATGCTCAAGATCGTCGATGCCCTCAATGAGGACGGCAAGCTGCGGTTCTGGGGTCGGTCCTACTCCACAATCCTTGGACAGACCTTTGCGGCGATGTTCCCCGACCGTATTGACCGCATGCTGCTCGACAGTGTTGTCCTAAACGATGACTACCACGCCGGTCACTGGATCACTGCCACCAAAGCCGCCGAGGATGCTCTTTACAACTTCTTCACTGAATGCATCAACGCCGGTACAACTGACTGTCCTGTCATTGCGAACTTTACAGGCCCTGCCACCACCCCAGATGATCTCATGAAGGAAATGCACAAAGCCTTCCAAGAACTCGTCGACAACCCTGTCACGCTCCCAGATGATTATGAGCCGCTGCCATGGTGGCAACCCGGTGGGATGGACCTTCTGACGGAACTCAAGTACACCATTTTCAGCCTGCTCTACCGACCGGAGCAGTACCCCGCCGTCTACACGTATATTCTAACCGCCCTCACCCGCGACTACGGCATCGTGATCAACCCCCCGCAGGCCGCCGCCGCCGCTGCCACAATCCCACCTACATGGAACCAGGGTGCAAACAACTTCCACGGGATTGCCTGTGCAGATTCTCACTTCCGCGCCAATAAGCCCGAAGACATGTATTCGTTGGTTCAATCGCAGGCTGTTACAGGCTCCTTTGCCGACGCGTTTTCGCCGCAGGTGTGGCCGTGTGCCCAATGGAAGTTCAAGGCCGCCGAGCAGTTCGAGGGACCGTACCACGGCATCAACACCAGCTATCCCATTCTGTTCATCAACAGTCCCTATGACCCGGTCACACCGCTGAGCAATGCCTTGGAGGCCTCCGCTCGCTACCTAGGGAGTCGTGTTGTTGTCCACGGAGGACATGGAGTAAGTCATTTTCTACCTACCTAAACCGTGAGCCGAATGTATGCTAACATTATCACAGCATGGATTCATGAACCACCCTTCGTCATGCAGCCAGAACATTGTTAAGGAATACTTCGACGAGGGAAAGCTTCCTGAGGTCGGCACCAGGTGCGAACCCGATATGACCGGGTTCGAGTACGCAAAGCTACTCCTAGCGGCGGCGAGCGGAAACTCTACTGTCGCCAGACGAGGACTGGGTAGCAATCAGGTGAAGAGAAGCGGCCAAGGCATGTTTGGCCATCAGATCTAAGCTCGTGAGCGATTCCACGATTCCTTGGGTGTAAATGTGACAACTTGGCGCTGCATAGCCTTGCTTAATAGCGGATATAGGAGGAGTTGGTACATTTGACATTTCAATGAATTTTATTAGACATGATAATACACGATAGCTATAGACTAGAATTTTGATATCATACTTTGAGGCCCTTGAATCTTTAAGAACCGATCGGATCCATCCCAGGGTGTGGTCATGCTATCACAAAGAACCTATGATGCTCCACTACACATCACCAGAACCTAAGACGATCCTCTGCCTAACCAGTAAGAGAGCCACTAATATAATCGGATAGGAATGGCCATCAAGGCCCTACAGCACCGCACTCCATGATTTCCCCACTTATGGCAAGGCGGGTATCCACCTATATAGCTAGATATTCGGTAGTTAGGCTCGAACACATTAATAGAATCTTGATTGATTGATTGATTGATTGATTGAATTCAATCTAAGCAACTCTGTCATCAAGGGGGAACCAAACACAGGAAATTTCCACTACATATGTGGTTTCAATGCATTACTATTCCAAGCTACCAGCATCCAAGCAGGATGTTCCTCTCATCAGGTTATCGAAGAAAGCCATGTCGACACCTTGGAAAGTCCAATCATCTACTCCTGTCGTGAATGAAGGATGTCCCACCGGCAACTGCTGGGTAACTACGTCTTGACTAAAGCCAGGGTTGTGCAAAAGGAGCTGCTCATACCTGGGTGGGTGTAACTGCTCGTTCGGCGACTCCGATGCGGCCAGGTTGACTAAAGGGGCGGAGCCTGGAGCTACACCGTGCATATTGCTAAGGGAATGTTTAGTTGTCGGCGACGCATGAGATGGAGGCGCTTTTCCATCATTACAAGTGACGGATGGTTCTCTATGTGTGAACGCGCCCGGAGTCCTATGCGATGTAGCCGTCGCATTTCCAACTGATGGCTCTCGAGTTATAGGGCGTCCACGCCCAATCTTAACCACCCCGAGGTGCGGGATATTCAAATGGAGCTCTTCGCCTCTCTCCCTGTTATCGTCAATCTGATCATCTGTTAAGCTCCTGGTAATGTAGCTGTTGCCTTCCGCTGTGTCTGCCTCGAACTGGAGCAATTGTCGGATCAGTTCGGCGCTCCTTTCAGCTATAATATCATGTTTCATGTTACTGATTATGTCCATTCTCTCCAGTGCTTGATCGAGCAAGGCGCGGTCGCTCAAACGCTGGTGCGCCAGGAGGTTGACCACTTCTCGATGATTACCATCGCCTAGATGCGCAAGCAGGAGTGTCATCGCCGCTAGGAGAGTAAAGAAGTCCACAGGCCGCGAGCAGGATGACATGGGGTTGAAGCTTCGATGAGCAATGTAGCGCGTCATGATCTCGCGGCTAGCATTGACGCAAGTAATTTTTGAGTACTCATAATCGGTATCGTCACTGATTCGTATCATATACGGTAGATGGAGCTGAATCAGAAGGCCGTAGTAATAAACCTGGGCGCCCAGGTGTACTGTCTCCAACAGGGTATCTGGAGATCCTGGTGTGAGGTTCTGGAAATTTGGCGGTCGCCAAAAGCTTGCGGGCATACCCCGTGACACCCCTAATAGCTCAGCATCAATGGATTTTGTTGCCGCAATTTCAATCGTGGTAAAGGCACGTTCGTTGCGTTCCAAGATGCGAGATGCAATGATTGTAAGGCATCGCTCGAACTTGCCCAGGGGCGGTTCGTGCTGCACAGCGGACCTCGTGCCCATACTCCTATCAGTTGTGCCCTGGGGTAACCCAAGCAGCAAGCTGAGATAACGATCCATATATACGATGCGGAACCACATGAACTCTGGGTTCGCATCCAGCCCTGGGTCGATGCGTTTCAGTGGTGGCATGGGAGAGCGGTGTAAACCCATCAACTGGGCGACTGTCATTGCCCTGCGATAAACAATCCAGGCCCGTCGAAGATTGCCGCAGTTTATCTCGTATATCCCTTCTAGCATGATGCATATAAGACTCTCGACAGTTCCGTGCATGTCTTCCTGGGTTGTTACCCATGTCGTCGCAGCCGTCATCAAACGACGCATGAGCACGCCGGGTGGCTCAGAAAGGTCCATAATCTTTTCCCCTGTCGGGCTCTGTAGAGTGATTGCGAACAACAGCATTTGCTTGGCCAAGATGACAGGGTGGGTGTTAGGACGAGGAAGCCCAGGTATAGAGTATGGTCCCGAGAGCGTCTCGTATGTCAGCTTGCTATGTGGCTGATGGTTGATGGAATCGATGTAAAGTGAGAGTTTGGAGCTCTCTCTGAGCAGTACTTTAGCATCCTTTTCACCTGGGAAGGCTTCAAGTAAGTGGCTAAGGCATCTTTCAATATGGGTTTGACCTGATACACATTGCGTGTCCGGTATGAGCGGTGGTGAGCTTGGAGCGGATCTTCGAAGACACTAGACAATAATCAGAAAAAAAAGGTATTCAACTTGATTATGAGTAGTTCACGTACCTCTACAGAAGCGAGGGGAGGCCGAATTGGTGAAGGCACTGAGTCACTTGAGCAAGGATTTCTGGCATCCGAGTTTGAACGCCGGCCTGCCCGTACCTCCTTTTCAGAGTGGCTCGCTGCGCCAACATCTTTGCTAGCAATAAAGTCCTGCATCAACTTTTCAACTCTTGCGATGCGCTCAACAAGATTCCGGTTGCCTTTCCTCGCCGGAGACAAATCTTCCGGCAGATCCTGACTTACACAGGGTGCACGTCGGCGCTCACAGCCAATGCAAGTGACATCTTCGGTCGATGCAAATGTACACTTGATCTTCCGCCGCTTACATTCCCAGCAAGATCGTGTCCCTTTGCGAACCTTCCTCCGCTTACCTGATCTTTCCTTGTTGGGTATTGACGTGGCTGTCTCTTCTTCCAGGGTGCTCGTCATAGCTGGGTGTGATCAGTAGACATCTGTATTATCTCCCACACGGCGGACAAAGTCTCGGGGGTGGTGATGGGGTCGAGGTCGGAAAGGATCGATATGATTTCATTAATTCCGCCGTTGCGGGCGAAATATCCGAGATCTCCTCTTGATACATGCAGCCCGCATTTGTCAGCCCTTCCGGATTAACGGGTTTAATAAATTACTAAGAAAGAGATATGCTATCGTCATTGGGAGAAACGATAGAGTGCCACCTTCAACCGTTTCGGCGGACGTAAGCTTACTTCCCGATTTTCTTATAAATCCGACGCTGTGGACGTAAGATTAAAACCTCCCCCATAAAGGTCAGAAAGCCAGACCAACTCAAGTAGACTACAAATCCGCTAGTCCGCAAGACGACTCAACCATCATGTCATTCTCAAAGTGCTGCATCCAAGGCTTCTCATGGCAAGGAACACCCACTGGGCGCACCGGCCAACTCTCCAACAATGATGTGTACATCACCGGCGACAACGCAGACGTGGCAATCCTGTTCATCGCCGACCTCTTTGGCTGGACATTCCCCAACGTCCGCCTCCTGGCAGACCACTATGCCCGTGAAGTCGGCGCAACAGTCTTCGTCCCAGACTTCTTCGGTGGCGAGGTTCTAGATTTCGATCTCGTTGCCGCCGAGAAATTCGACCAGATCGACCTGCCGGGGTTCATCGGGCGCAATGGCCGGGAACAGCGGGAGCCAGAGATCTTCGATTGTGCACGTGCCCTAAAGCAGGATCTGGGGTATAAGAAAGTCGGTGCGGTGGGATATTGCTATGGCGGATGGGCATCATTTCGCCTAGGCGCCAAAGAACATGCATCTGCGCCGTTGGTGGATTGTATCGCCGTCGGCCATCCATCTCTGCTGACGAAAAAAGACATTGACGAAGTGGCCGTTCCCGTGCAGATGCTTGCGCCAGAGATTGATCAGGCATATCCGGTGGAGTTGAAGTTACATACCTTTGAGACGCTTCAGCGGCTGGGTGTGCCGTTTGATTATCAACATTTTCCGGGTGTCGTGCATGCGTGCTTTATACGTGGCGATGAGAATAAGCCGGGTGAGAGGGCGGCGATGGAGAGAGGGAAGAATGCGGTGGTTGGATGGTTCCGACAGTTGTTGAAAGACGCCTAATGATGGCACGTTCTAAGGCTGCGATGCACTGCAAGGGAGATTGGCGATAATCTACCCAACCACCTCCTCTCGGTAGCCAGTGAAATACGGCTTCAATTCACAGAAATAGCCTGTGGAAGACTGTCGCATCTATGTCACGTGATACACTGCTACCTGCTTAGCTTATAGTGTGAATCCCCCTTATAAACAGCCTCGACATAAGCAATATACACGTTATAGGTCTTTTATTTTTATTTTTTTTTTTGGCGGGGGGGTAGGGAGGCTGGAATCATTTTTCATACAAAATGGCTTTAGACCTCGTTATGGGGAATGGAGAACTCCAAAAGAACCGCTTATTCTGTAATAAAAAAATCGCTGAGAAGAAGATAAAGCGGGTCTTTATAGTTAATTTTAATTTATTTATATGATCATATCCCATTATGCTGGTTAGCGAGGTTCCAGAAACTCACTTTAGTATTTTATATCTTAAGAGTCTTACTCCTTTTTACTGTTAGCTACGTGTCTATTTTAAGTATTATAACTATCTTTCACTATACTACAATTATAGCTCTTGCCTACGGGCCATTCAGGCAATCTAGGTAGTGAAATTCAAGGTCATGTGATTCTATCACTGTACACATCTGCGGCACCATTACTGATTACTGACCGCGCCTTGTCACAGAAATTCTGTGAGTGTCATCAACTATGGGTATAGACTACAGAATAGATGTATCAGGTGCTCTAACAGGTTTCAAGGACGTAAGAGCCTGAGTTATAGCGGCAATTGATTCAATGGAGGGATGCCACATAAAGTTTATCTGAAGTCTGAAGGAGAATGTAAATATAGAGAAAATCAGCATTGTAAAAATCCCCGGAGAACTAGGCAAACATGTAACGAACAGGCCTAGCCTGGAAAAGCTATCGAGCTCTGACCCATTACACCGAGCACTACTTCGGAACCAATGATATCTGGTCCTTACCCAATTTTCCGATCGCGATGCCGACCTTCGGATCAGTTGAGGGACTGGAAACCCTGCCAGGTGCTCCACTCGGACTGTGTGCAAATCTCTACCTCCCTAGCTCTCCGTTAAGTGGGGATATGCTCGTTAACGCTTTGTGGGCCTACATATTTGCGGCCCCTGCCACTGAGCTCGCCTTGTCGTCACACAGAACCCTAGTAAGTGTCACAGATTAGTCGAGACCACAAGATAGACGCCGCAACAACGGTGATAGGCTGGAGGCGGAGCATGGAGGGCATTCGAGTGGTACAACATAGTGTGACGCCAAGGCGTTCAAATGGACTGCAGGACACAGCAGAAAATAAACTACTACCACAGAATCGGACGGGTATATATCCCGATATATAACAACCAGAATTCGCATGTTGTCACCCACCATACTACTAACTAACGGCACCTGAGCTGTCACTAGTTGCGTATCGCCCAAGTGAGTTTAGGGTGAGCGCCGCTTTAGTGTCGCGAGTCCGGGAGTGAGAAGTTCCGAAACGGCGTTGGAAGCAACTTGATAGACACTTCTTTTCCGAATCGCCCCATCGTCCACGATTGTGCTATTGGAGTCCCGAGTACGGAGTAGTATCTTGCGTTTGACGAGGGAGTCATTGAACCTCGTAAGAGTTCATTTCATTCAACCCCTGGAGAGACGTTATCGTCACTCTTCTTAGTAGCAATGAGCTGGTGTACTCAACAGTCTAGAAATAATCCTATTCTCTCCTTATCTTTTCTATTTCTAATAGTAGCCTTAACTATCATCATATTAATAGTAACCTATTGAGCTAGAACAGCACAGTTGAAGTACTCTTTAGTATAAAGAAGAACGTGGATATATATATTAGACTCCATAACTCCTAAAATACTTTGAATCTCTCGTTAAACCCCATCTATATAGGAAATTCAACGATATAAGGGACACCTTGTTATATGCAACTCATTTGCTGACTCAATGAATTTGCTTATAGCTAATGGGATTTCACAGAAGTCAGCTAACTGAATTCTTCCCCTTTAGTTGGATCGTTCCCCGAGGTTATATGATCAACTTATATGAACTCACCCGCGTCGGCAACATCCGACCCTCGCAATGTCGGTTCGGCTGGTACACTTGGTCAGTGCATTGACGCTAAACCCGCGGAATGCTCCCGGTTTCAGTGGCGCTCGGGCCGCTGGCCCGCTTCAATCTTGATCCGCTCGAGATTGTTGTGTCCATCGTCCCAAGTCCTTTCGGCCGGACATGTTTTCTGCTCGGTCCAGTCTACTGTGATATACCGTGGGGGAGATGGAGCAGCTCTTGACACGCTTTAGTTGTTCTTTCCTTGAAGTTTTTAAAGTGCTTACACAATTCATGCATGCCAAGATTATGGTTATTATTTGATATATCACAATTTTCTTCGAGAATGTCTCGGCGCATGAACGATTTGGATTTGGATTTGGAAAAAGACTCTCTCTCTCCGGCGCTAATTGACGGTAATTTGAACGCCGACCTGAGAGTTAAAAAAATGGACACGCGACTCCATCGACCCCCTGGTGAGAATCCTTTAAAGGCCAATGCAGACGGTTCTCAATCAAAACCAATAACCACGCAAAGCGAGCAGGCCTGACGGGACCCACTAGTATGATCGGCATCGTTGGCTATTTCCAAAACCAGCCACCGGCGCTAATTAGCCCCAGATCGGACCTGAATGTAATCCGATAATCTCATGTATCCATTCAATAGTATTGATATGACCCCCTTGACTCAGGGCTATTATGTAAAGTGGCTTTTGAACTAAACTAGTCTGTAGAAGATCGTCCAATGACAGGGTAACGTATATAAAAGAGTTTTTCGCTACATTGGTAGCTCTTGCGCCAGAGACTTTTAGTCTGGTTTCTGGCGTCTGGTGGCTTCACTGGAACTTCGGTTCCAGGAGGTGATGGATCTTGGCGTTGGTGATTATTATCGCCGATCAATGTCATCGCGTTTGGCCACAAACAGGGGCCCCGAGTGGGAGGCTGTGAAACTATTCAGTAGTTTCGTTGTTGCAAGGAATCTTTGTGGGGTCGAATCCAGATCGGTGTTATGGTTCGTTACCCCCCTGAATCGATGTGCTATAGTCCATGGGGTGCATGAGGTTCTTGAGATAGACCAAGATTGGGTGGCGACTCCACATTCCGGCGCTCTTCTGTCACTTGCCACTGAACCTCTTTGACAATATGCGAATGGCTGTGGGTGCTTGTCGTGCTCTCGGCGAGTGCGATGTCATCCTGGAGAAGAGTGAGGCCCTGCTTGCGACGGCTGCGCGGAGTCGCCGTCGAACCATAGTAACCGACGTAGCGTCGGCCGCGGCTGCTACCTTCACCAATCCAGGCAGGTAAGTAGGCTCGCAGAAACTGTCGGAGGAATGGCAGACAGGGACAAATAATAATTAGGTTCGCTTCGACATAACTATAGAAGAGGGGAGGTGTGTGAGCACTGCGCATTATTCGACAGGGGAAGAAAAGGGAATCGTACATCCAAAGTTGTGCCTCTGCTATTGCGTATGTAACGTCCGTGGCCGTAAGGGTTGGGATCAAGGTTGTGAGTCGCAAAATGCTCGTAATAAATGTACTGGGTACGATTTGGTTAGATTCAGGGAGGAAATCGTGATGACCAGGCCTAGCAACGAAAGACTCACCCGCAACCAACAATAAACATGCCGAGAAGTCCAACCTTTTGGATTCGCGGCATTTGTAGGCCTAACACCAGCGGAACAGGCACCACAATCAGAGCCAAGTCCGAAACGATATTGGTGACCGCCGTTGCAATGTACAAGCCAGCCCGATCAATACAAGACCCCCGTGTGATCGAGGAGTCCCAACTCCTCTGAATGGGGTTGCAGGCAAAGATCAAGGCCAAGGAAATAGCGATACTATATGCGCAAATGATCCCCGAGATAATGTGAAGTGCCCATTTATAGCCGCGTTGTTTGTTGATGATACGGTGATAGAGGATGATAAGGCCGACTTTGGCGAATGCGAGGGCAGGCAGGTAAATCACGGCGGCCGCCAGGATGGTCTTTGCGGACGAAACCTATTAACCAGATGTAGATAAGATATAGGGACTGTTCCAGATACCTTTTGATAGACATCGAACATGGCTGGGGTCACATTCCACATATGGATTCCAGCTCCACCATATACGCAGCTCACTGGTCGGATCAGGTCAGAGAATGGTCCCGAATCTTAGGGGACCGGAAAGGAGATCACATACGAATGCACGCAATTTGTGTTGCTAGAGAGAGAACCTTTATTTCAATAAGACATTGTCGTTAGCAACCCGGAGCGATCGTGGCATGTCAATAATCCCTACCCAGGCTATGATGATTGACACTAGTTGAACTTAGCAATTCCATTCGATACGTTTCTTCCAGGAGGATTGAAGGTGTGTATACCATCGTCCCATCCGAACTTTGACAACAGAACTGCCCGCGTGAATACACGCATGGCCAATAATATAGTGCTGAGAAAGAGCCCAATGCCAAAAATGATCATTTCCTTCTTAAAATTCTTGGGATTGGAATAGTCGAAATCAGGCGTCACCCCGGGGGGTGGAGGCATGACCCCAGTCATGCTCCCCATAGTAGCTGCTCTTGGTGATATACCAGGGGAGCGAGATGTACAATGGGCGTAAAGAAGAGAAAGATCCTCAAGGTAAGCTTTTGGCTACTCTTATGACTGATATAAGTCCACGTTCCTGAACCCTTCGGACCCCAAGTGGCGAGTTCCGGCGACATAACAGAGTTTGAAGCTATCAATGCAGGTCATACTAGTTCGCTCCCGACTCCATGGAAGCCTGCAGGACTTCGCAAGACCCTGGCAAAAGTGTCCGTTCAACTCCTATTTTTGTCGAGGTTTTTTTTATT